GATTGCGAGCTTGAGTTCGAAGGAGACCACACAAGCGATGAGGACATTGGCTTGGCTCTTGCTTGGCAGTTCGAAGCAAGGCTCCCGGCACAGGACTTTTCAGCACGATTGTCGGTTTCGGCAACATTGCTGCACGTTTTCCTGTGGAAGGCATTCCCAGCGATCCATGCACAGGCATACCACCCGACAGTCACCCGACCAAACACGAAGCCGTTGTGCCCAACTTCAAACATCCACCCGCGGACCCATCGTTGCTCCGATTGAGACAGCACCGCTCGATCTTAACCCACAGATTAGCAACTTCGGGGTTTCGCGGGGTCGTGTCTCGGGCATTCCGACTGTTGACGTAAAAGCCTGGAGCTATTCGAGGAGGACCACGTGACCAGCATCACAGTCCCGGTTGGATGTGCCTGAACTCTGCCTGAACGGACCCCTCACGACTTTGCGCAGGAGTTCATCCCTCGAAATGCCAAGCTTGCAAGACCTGCCTTGATGAAGGACGCTGGCAGCACCACGATATGCAAGGAGTTTGAATCAGCTACGAGTTACGAAGAGAAGAATTATTCAATTTCTAGCTTACTGCATGCTCATGAGCGCGTATGTAACGCACGGCTGGTACGACTTGTGTCCAGTGTTGGTTGCTTTCAGTTCTATTCGCTGCTCCTCTTTTGGACAGTGTCTTGGCAGGATCTGCCGTTCGCCGCCCATGCAGAGAAGGCATGGTGCTGCCTTTCTGCGCTAATTAAGACTCCCTCAGGGTAGCTTGAGCTGACTTAGATCGCAACGCATCAGTGCGAGGTTCGCGTGCTGGCGCTAGGCCGATGAGAGATTTTGTTAGAATTTTGTAGTTTCAACAGGGACTCTTTGGGCTTGCGATCCGCAGGTCTACATAGCCTGCAGGAGTTCCTGAATGCAGCTGACTGGAGAGTACTGTAGTTCTCCACATCACCTTTTGTGAAGCGGAGTGGTTGTTGTAACTTTGCTGAGATCGTGGTCATTTGTTGTGCCCTGACTGGCAGCGTGCCGGCTCCGCCTGAATGGAGAAGCTACAAACAGTTTTGGGGATGACCAAGATAGTGGAATGGTGCCGTGATCGTCTAGCCTAGACGTCTGTCACATCGAAAAAGCGAGCCACAAAGAGTCAACGAGCTCATGCCTGCAACCTGAGCTTTCGGGCCCACGACGGCACAACTTCAACTTGGGACCTTTCTTGCACAGGCATCGAAGGTGCAGCGCTTGCCAAGCCAGCTGCAGGCACGGAGTTATTCGGGAGTTTGGGATGCTTGGCAGTGCCCGGCTCCCGGAAACTTCCACCCCAGTCTCCTGGTTTTGCTCTGTATAAAGTCTCCGCAACATTCAGTCCCTCCGGCCCGCAGCACCCGATGGTAGAAAGTTTGGCAGCCTCGCGATTTCACAAAGGGTTGTTACGTCTTGTTTCTGACGTTGGGATCGTCGTTGGATGTTCAAGGATTTCGTAGAGCTTGTTAAGATTTTCGAGGAAGTCGCGAGCAAGAAGGCGGTAGGATGAAGGAACAAATCAAGCTGGCAAGTATCGCTGTAGAATTCCGCCTAAGAGCGGGAATCTACAGCCAGTCTCCGGGGCTACTGGGGTTCGATCTTTGGGATGTGGACTGGGAAAGACACTTGCATCTATAGATTTCTAGCCGCCACGCTCAGGGAAACATCAGGTTGTCCCAGTAATGTCACATGCATGCATAGGCATGTACACGCATATGCACAGCTACATAGCTACTTATACATTTTTTTGTATATGTGTGTGTGTATACATACACATATTCATATAACTACTTATACATATACGAATATAGTGTGCATACATTTGCATACATGCCTGAGTCGGTTCCTGCATTCGTGAATCGTGCTTGCTGATAGTCGGTTCGTACCTACTACCTACTGCCTCTCACTCACCACGACGAGGCCGCCGACTACTACTACTACTACTACTACTACTACTACTACTACTACTACCACTACTACCACTACTACCACTACTACCACTACTACCACTACTACCACTACTACCACTGCTCACTACTGCCACTGCCTTTCCTTGTTTCACGACGCTGCGTCCCTTTGCTGTCCTTACCTTACTCGCTCCCTTTTTCCGTTATTTCTCCTTCTCTCTCTCTCTCTCTCTCCTTGTCCTCGCCTCCCTGCACTGCTTTTGAACTGCGCTCCCCTGCCCACCGTCTCACTCGCTTGACGCCGCTTTGCCATGGAGACCGTTCCCGCTGCACTGACTGCCACTCCATATGTCTGAGGATCCCACAGATTTCTGCAGAAGAGGGAATCTTCGGACCCCAAAAACCACTAGTGGAGTGACCATGGATGGCTGGCCCTGATACACGGTTGGCTGAATCAAACCTTGCACGTGAAAGCGCTGACCAGCAACTCCCGTGACGGCGCGCTACCACGATCAACAAACGCTGAGCGGCCCTGGTCTGAAGTTGCCGCTGGACCTTGACAACAAACCTGGTCCGACCCAGAGACGGTGTGCTGGGACAGAAGGAGAGCGGCCCTGGCCCGCAGCTGCCGCGCGATCTCGACCCAGACCTTGAACACGAGTATATTTGGCTCGCGAAAAGCCGCCTGGATGAGCCGCCCATAGAGACCGGTTACTGCACACTGGCACGGCAAGACGAACGACGAGCGGCCCTGGTCTGAAGTTGCCGCCGAACCTGGATGAAAGCAGGGAAGTTCAGCCAATGACGGCGTGCTGGCATCAATGACAGCGGCCCTGGTCTGAAGTTGCCGCGTGACCCAGAAGTGGGGCCTGCGTGTATATGGCTTGCGTGAAACAGTCGGGGTCCACTATCCGGTGTTGCATGACTTCGTCACGACCATAGATACACGCAGGCCCAGGCCCACCAACACTTCAGAAATCCGCTGAGTCAGGGAACTTCCGAATGAGGATCCCTACGTCTGGAGACAACAAGAAGGACCTGCGACCACTCGACTCAGATGCGACAAAGGAAGCCTACCTACGAGCTATGGCAACGAGTGAATGTGACGGACAACACTGACAGCCAGTACCTAACTGCAAGTCGTCAGTGATTCGCCCTGGGTAGTCTCCACCTATTAGTTCTTATCTCTAGGCTCTTGTTGGTGTTTTCGCGTGGGGTCTGGTATTGCGAACACTGGCTGACCGCCTGTTTTAATTGGTGTGCACGCCTTGGAAAGTGACAGCGAGCTAATTAACTCGGAAGTAGTAACACATAACCACTTGCAAGTGAAACCAGTGAACAGATACTGATTTGTACAGACACGTGTGTAGGCCATGAGATGGGTTTGGGGTCATGTGTGGTGAGCCTCGTAAAATGGTTGATTTTCACTGCGTTGTTGCCTGTGTCCGAAGGTACCCAAAATGGCCCACACGAGAGAACATGTGGTAATTGGCCCGCGGGCTGTGGCAAAGCACTGATTGTTGAACTCTGTACAGGAATATATAAAGGCTGAACTGAGCCGAGTGCATGTTTTTGTAGATGAGTCAACCTTTGACAGGGCCAGTTAATCCTGCTGCTCATAACGAACACCCCGCCGGAGAAGCGCCTTCTTATTGGATAGGCTTGTTGTTGGTTTTGGGTGTTTCCGTTCATCGACTCTGCGGGGTGAGCGATGTGTGTAGCTTCCGGATCGAGAATATCCCGACGTAGTCTGTGGCCTTACCTTCTGTTGTGGTGTTTCTGCCATCGGGATGCTCTTGTGACTAGTGACCATTTAAGTCCCCGCGGAGCTGTCAACGGCGTGCCATGTGGGTGACAAAAACTACCACTACTACCACTACTACCACTACCACTACCACTACCACTACCACTACCACTACCACTACCACTACTACTACTACTACTACTACTACTACTACTACTACTACTAGTACTAGTACTAGTACTAGTACTAGTACTACCACTAGTACTACTACTACTACTACTACTGCTACTACTACTACTACTACTACTACACCTATTTACTACCACTACTTCCAGTACCACTACCACTACTGATATATACTACCGCCGCTTCAATTAAACGTCGTAGAGCACAAGGGTTGAAGCTGCAGCGTGCCTCGAGCACCTGACAGTGCTGCAACCTGGCAGTCTTTGCAGCCAACCCTCCAGTCAATGCTTGAAGACCCAGAGAAAGACCGTTAAAGGCAAAACGACTCCACCTCCTAGGACCTGCAAAACTTAGCAGTCCTGGTGTGGCTGAAAGCATGCGTGTGTTGTCACACGCGCGCCTGTGTATGTGTGTGTTTCACTATGTGTATCTGTGTCCGCATGCTAGCTGTAATATTCCTGTGCCAGTTTGCCCGTGGTGTAAGTCGTCGTCGCCACAAAACCTGCCAGGCTCTCCTGCCCACCTCGCAGCTCAGCGCTCCCAGGTTCTGCATGAGTTCGCGCAGTCGGGTACATTCAGATGTTTCATGATGTCTCAACGCGGCAGAGGAGGAGTGGGGTTACATTGTTTGCCGGGTAACGGTGAGTAATGAATGGTTTTCGGGACTGCAGCTTCATTTTATAGGGTGCCGTTCGCGGTGACTGATGGTACGCATTCGGTGGAAGGATTGCTGCACGAGTGCTGATGTGCAAAAGTTAGTTAGAAGTGAGATCAGCGGTAACAAGGGGACTGACGTCGAGTTCGCATCTTTCCGCTGTTGGCTCTGCAGGGTGTCTTGGTCTTGAAGGAGCTTTAGCACACGTCTCGACTTGAATGCGCCTTGCGACTGAGAACCCTAGAAAGACTCTAGAGATATATACACCCTGAAAAATGCGAATGCGGGGGCATCGCCCTTGCTCCAAGGGGTCGTGGGAGAAATTCTCTCGGCCAGGGAGCTGGATGCCGCGCATGTCCTCACGGAGCAGCAGACCAAGGCCGTCCAGCCTCCCGGCCTCGCGTCAGCTACTTCTCCTTTTGTGTACTACTGCGGTCAAACACTCTGGCCGCCGCCAGCGGTGGTGCCTCCGCTCAGGTATGTGGCAAGCATGGCCCGGCCTAAGAGCCAGAACGCAGAGCCTGGCTTGCAGAGGCCGGACTCAAGGAATGTGCAACTGAGAAATGCAGAAGCCGAATAGTACGTTTGTTCGGAGTTTGTGATGTATGCTTATTCTTGTTGTTGTTAGCCTTTCCGACACCTTGTCCAAAACCGCCTCGTAATCTGGCGTGGCCCCCGAAATCATCCAATGCGACGGTTTCAGCCCGTTCTGCCTTGTTTGACAAAGCTTGTGTCGCTTGCCTTATGGCTCTTAGTTGGATTCTCAGCTCGCACTGTTTCGAGGTACTTCGCAGTTCCCAACCCGCATCGCGTACTGTTTGTTGTCTCGTCCGATATGTGGGGCAGATGCCGATGCATCGGTGGATCTTTCAAGCCCCAGCTGTGAGTCGAAAATTCAGTTCGTGCCGTTTCTATGCTGGTGGGGGAGCGGGAGGGAGGGGCAGGTGGGAACAGCGGCACTCTCCAGCGAAGCAATGGCATTAATTGACACCCTGCCGAAGCGCAGGTCGTCAGGGGAGTCGTCAGACAAGTGCGAACACTTTGTCCAGGGTTGTCAGGACAGTCGGTGAGCTAGTGCTGACGCCAGTTCTGGCATAAGCCATGTATTCTGACTAGTAGGAGTAGTACTTCAATCTCAGAATGTAGCAGTAGCAGTTGTAGTTGCTGCTGTTGTTTTTGTGTGTCCATTGTTTGTCTTTCCTGTTGTTGTGGTTGCTGATGATGCGCGAAGCGGACGGCCCAGATGTAGAAACATGTTGCGCACGAGGCATGTGCTATACCGTAGGCCGTAAGCCAAAGCAACCCCCGATGCTTCGATCTCAACATCAAACAACCTGTGAAAGCATCATGCCTGTCGTTCCCTAGCTTCAGAGCCTCACTGACGAGTTCAGCGTAATTCTGCACCCTCGAATCCTCCGCCTTGCAGGCGCCTCTCGAAGCTACTTGGTCACCACTGTTGTTAACTGTTGTTGGTTCACGTTTTCAATATTCTGTGTTCTACCCAGGTTTCGAAGGATCGAAAATAGAACCCAGTTTAAAACACAATTGCACTTCGGTTGCACATGTCAGCATGAGACCGGTTTGCAGTTCGGACAGTGGATAGGGTTCGTGGCAGCCAAGCCTATCTAGCACGATCGATTTGTTGGAAGGTGTAGATTGGTGAAGCCGCTGAGGTGGGGCTACAGCAAGGACACGCTGACTAAAGTCCTCGCTTACATCAGGGACGAGGCTCGCATGTCCTGCCTCACAATTGACTGCGAGATCTTGACTGGTGTTACAGAGTCTGGTAGGCCGGCTAGTATACAGAAAGCTGTCATGCACATGCACCAGGAGTAGGCCGCCTCTCGCCAGAGCTCGTACTTCCGGGGGAAGTTTGGAAGGCACACACACACACACAGAGCCTGAGCACAATAGCAGTGCTAAGCCGCAGCATTGAGCGAATGAGGTGACCAAGGAAGTTAAGCGGGAACGCGGCACCGTTAGGTTGTCCATTCTGGAGAAATTCCCTTCTGAACCGCAAGACCTGAGGGCCGAACGAATAACAAGCACGCTCCTGCAATTCAGACAGCCTCTCGTATTTCCAGTGACAGGCACCCATCGTGATCCATGTCGACTTGGTGAAGTACGTTTCGTCCTTTCAAGCCGTCGACTGCTCAGTCGGGTCGTAGTCGTCAAATACTCATGGCTGTGTTCACTTCAACTAATCTATAGTGCAGTCCACTTCAGGGTTTCAAGTGTTCGTGCAAGGCTAAATCAGGCTGCGTGCTCGCGGTGCAGGTGAGTTGTATATTTGTCGTTGCAAGTGAGCAGTGCTCCATGGTTGTGGTGTCAAGGAAGCCCACCGTTGTAGATTATAAGACGTTTCGCCGATTCTGGCCCGAGAGGCATTTGCCGGCTTGTCGCTGTTGCTTGTGCCGAAGCCAAAGGACACCCACTACCGAAATCAGTTCGAGACACGGACGACGGGGGGCTCAAGCGACCTTGGCAAGCGGAAGGCAGGGACCCGAGGAAAAGGCTTGCTTTGTTCTTTTGCTCGTCATTGTGTCGCTCCGAGCTGACTTGCACTTGAGTTTGCTTCTGCTCGCAAAGCATGAAAGGGAGAGAGGGAGAGAGAGAGAGAGAGAGAGTAGAGTTTCCGAGTTCAGGGTTGTTTTGGGGTCCTGGTTTTCTGTAGCCCACTTCGGTCGGGCATGAGAAGCGTGCAAGGTAGTAGGACGTGGCACACTGTGAACCTGCGCTGTTCTTTCCGTTGGAGTCTGTTTCAGTGTTGCTGCCCTCGTGAAGCCATGTCTCGACATTAGGATCCTTACTGCACTCTGAAAGCGGAAATAGGGGAGACGTCCCCTCCAAAGCCAAGCTAATGCCACTTCTCTTTGTACATGTTTTATTACGTCTGTTTTCGATTGGCAGTTCTTTCGCGGGAAACTTGGCACAAATTTCCGCCTTCGCTGCTATCTGATAACCACGTGCAGCGAGGAACACCCTCGACCCAGCAACAAACCTTGGGTGCACTTGTAGGCCAGCCTATTCTAGTAACTTTCTGGAATGCAGTTGCTGAGGGCAGAGCTTGGTCCTTTTTGACCACAGAGAGCCGTGGTTTGACGATAGCCTTTAACCTCCTCCGCAACAGTCGGGCGCGCACAAGCGCGCGGTGTAGGGGGTCAAACCCGCCCTGGCGAAAGAAAGAGAGTGAGAGAGAGAGAGAGAGCGAATAGCGGGTGTGCGCATTGCACGGGGAGCGGGGCCTGGATGCTGCCCTAATCCCCAAGCCCGGTAGAGAGAGAGAGAGAGAGAGAGAGAGAGAGGACGCTGACCCGTCCCCGCAGAGAGAGAGCTTACTGGGTTTCTCAGGGCGGCGACTCTCCTTTGCTGGCCTCCTGCTAAAGCCACTTGTCATTGCCGGTGTTAAACGCCCCGAGTCCTGCCGGGTGCTAAAGGATCCGTGCGCGTGACTCGGGGTCAGACTCTTGTCTGACGCCGTGCCAAAAGTTTTTACCCAGTGAGGCCGTGCGGGGCTCTAGTAGTCGAACTCCGCAACCACGCCAAGCTACAACACCGCAAGGCTGAGGGATTTGCTAGAGTAAGACAGAAAGCTGAAGGGGGCAGTGCCGGCAGCACGCTGACTATAGGGCTCCAATTTTATTTACACCCACTCAACCAAGGAGGGCCCTGGCACCTCTTCATGGCAATAGCACGCCACCGCCTTGTCTTGTGTGGCAACCAGACCGCAACTGCATGGAAGCAGATGACGGGAGCCAGAAGCGACGCGAGGGGGAGACCAGAGCAAATGAGCGCACAGCGGCTCGTACAGCTGCCAGAAAGCGACCCGGGGGGACACAGAGCAGAAGCACTAAGGAGGCAAGAGAGACCGCCGATCTACCCCGCCGATGAGACAGGGGGGAGCAGCCATCCACCAACGGGCGATCCACATGTGGGGGGAAGCCAGCACGTCGGCTGCGGAACATACCACACCACCCGCAACAGACCCACGGCCACAGCTGGCCACACCCCCGGCACAACAAGTGCAGAGCCGCGATCCAGCTGCAACAGAACAACCACAGCCAGCCACTCCAAGTGCAGAGCCCCACTCCAGCTGCAGCAGAACAACCATAGCTAGCCACTCTCGGTCGCCAAGAAGCAGCAAGTGCAGAGCCACAGGCTGGCAGCAACAGAGCAGCCACAGCCAGCCACTCCCACACACCACAGTGACCTGACAGTCGGGAGCGGCAACTGCAGAACAAGCACAGACAACCCCGAACACAGCAGCAGGACCGGACGCCAACGACCAGACCCAGAGCGACGACAAGCCTGTGAGCCCAGCCATGAGCGCCTAACGGGGGAGTCCGGTGGCTCACACTCCTCGGCCATGGCTACGGGCACACCCATTGCGCAACAACCACCCACAGCAAAGCAAACACCAACAGCACTGGAGCTTACGCTAGAACACCCAAGCGACAGACCACCACCAGGCACCCCCACCAACAGTTCTCTTTCTACTCACCAGCAGCCACAGCGTCCTTTCAACCACTCCACAGATACCAGGCGGCACCGGCCACGGGAACACCCAAGAGACCACCGTCACAACCACCCAGCGACTCGGAAACAAGCTGGCCGAGCGAATATCCCCTGACGGGGACGGCACATACCTGATGCAAGCCGGCAAGCCGCAGCCAACCACGCAAGAAGCACAGCAGGAACCGCAAAGGGCGGGACCGGACAGGGGGAGCGCCAGTGGACCAAGCCGCCGCATGCCCACGGCAACATGCCCCGACAGCAATCTCACGGACGGGGCAGCACACGACGACCTTGGCACCACAGTACCCTGGAACCCCCCGTCGCTGGCATACAAAGATGAGATGCTGGAGGAAGACATGCCGGGAAGAGGAGTACTGGAAGCCAGCGGGGGAGAAATGCAAGAACGGGAAGAGCAAGCCGACAGTCCACTCAAGAAGCCAGAAGCCAAGCCTTAGCACTACTCAGAAGCCAGGCAGAAGAGACAATGGCAGCGCAGGCCCAAGCCACAACACGGGGAGCCAATGATGACAGCCCAGATAGAGACAGAAGAGCACAGGGGAGAAAGAACAGCGGGGAGCAAAGCCCAAGCAGCGGCAGCTGCCGAACATGTGCAAGAAGCAATGGCGCTGGTCCGCAGAATAGAGCTGCACGGGCTGGAAGCTCACCTGGCAACGGCAGCAACTAACCTGAACCTAACTGTCGACAGAGAGCTGGGAAGACGGGGCCCGTCGCCAAACGCCTTCCAGATTGCGGCGCTCTTGACTCGGATCCTTGGCCAAGCTCTACTGTGGGGAGGCCTCCGTTCCAGTAGCTGCCAAAAAAACTCACGATGCCACGGACGCAGAACTTGCCTCCTCACGCTGATCTCAGGGTACCGGCTGGGTCTACAAGACTTGGGGAGGCTGCGCAGCCTGCTACAGCAGACGGAGTGCAGGGGGAAATTCCCGCACCGGCCCGCCAGAGACCATGGCAGTGCATGGCACCCAGCAGACGTCATCGCTCTACAGGGGGGAGGCCCGTGAAACAGAAGCACGGCCTCCCAAGCAAGAGCCGGAAGCCACACATGTCTTCCGCGAGATACTGCCCTTCTTGTTGGGGGACGTGCCTTGCGGCTGGGCAGGCGAATGCTGGGGAGGACGAAGCAATGCGAAGCAGTGGAAATAGTGAACGATGCGAGCGACACCGGCGATGGGGGAGCGGTGGCCACTAATAGCTCCCCCATCGCCGGTGTCGCTCGCATCGTTCACTGTCTCGAAGTAGTCTACTTCGAGACTGCCTACAGCCGCAGCGGAGCGCGCTGGCAGTGAACCATCACCCCGAAGCCGCACGGAGCCGCGACGCCGCTTCACAAACCCCAGCTCGCTTGATCTTGATGACTAGCTTTGGGGGATGCGCTGTGTTTGTGCTTCTTGGGGGTTTTGGGCTTCGGCAGCTGGTTGCGAGCGAGGCGAGCTGGGGACAAGGCGTAGACTCAACTGAATAACAGTGCTAGCGCAAGCCACGTCTAGCGAGCTTTGCCGCATCGTACGAATGCCGAGTACTGCTGTTTGCTTGCACCACAAGGCCCCCCCACACGCTTGCACAGCCTGGAGGCCCACAGTAAACCTAATTACCTACCCGTGTGCTAGGATCTTGCTTTGTTGTGTATGAGGCTCACGCAGTGGACCACGAAAGTAGTCTCACCACGGTGGGGAGCCAAGCCACACCAACTGCACAGCCTGCTGCCATAGGGGGGATAGTCTACCGTGTGACTAGTGTTGGCAGTTACACTGCAAACCTGAACGCAGTGGCTGCTCCTTTTGCTTCTGGCCCTCAAACAGGGGGAACCTGCAGAGAAAGAGGGAACTCCAGCGGTCCTTCAGCACTAGCCATCTCTCTGACTGTGCATTGCGTAGTTGCTGACTGGGGGAAGCTGCCCCAAACCACAGCAATGTGCGTGACCTGGAAGTCCTACTCTGAAGCAAGCCCCAGCACACAGGCTGTAGACTACGTCCAGCGGGGCGCGGCAGGGCGCGAGCAAAACGCCACCGCTTCTGATTGATGGTTGCCATAGGGGCCCGGAGATGAGGCCGGGATGCGGGGGGTTTCATCTCTTTTTGCTCGCAGGCAGGCCCCTTCGCAGCGCGGATCTTCACAGCCAGGCCTAGCTCCCCTGAACTGCCGCGTGTTGCGGTTGCGACGTCTCCGGCTCCCTCTGCCACTCACTGCCGCGTTTTGTCATTGCAGACAACGGGATCACTTCGCTGCAGACAACGGGATCACCTCGCCCTGGAGTTTTGCGAACCAGGGGCGCCCCACTAGAGCTTGCTGCAGCACGTGTCTGTCGTAAAGCTGGTGCTACTGTTGCGACCGTCGTTTTGCTGCGAGACCTGCACGTCGCCCCCAACCAACAGGATGACAGCCGCTCGAGGTCACCACCCGGATCAGCAGCTAACTCGCGTCGCTCCTCCTCAGTGGAGGCATCTGCCCGCGCGAAGTCTTCGACGGCCTGTGCCTCCGGGTCGTCCAGGTAGTGGTCGTCGGCCCCGACGGCCGCCCTTCTTCATGTGCCGCGTGCACGTGTAGGGCATCAGGAGGTCACCGACAAGATGTCGTTGGTGATGCCGTTGACCACCTGGAAGGTAGTCTTCGCCTCCTGGCGGTGGCTTCCGCCCAGTCGCAGGACTGGCTCCACCGTGCCTCTGGTGTCGAGGGACGTAGTCTAAAGGGTGGGGCTTGCTACAGGAAAGCCGGGGGCACACCATGTAGTTCAACACTCTGGAAGAACCCCAAAGCCGGCCACTCACTAACGCAGTGGGGAGGCTGGGCGGGCCACTGGCTTGAGGGTCGCTAGACGACCTCTACACCCTGCAGAAAGAAAGAAAGAGAAAGAGAGAGAGAGAGAGCGAGAGAGCACCCTAGCCTTGGCCAAAGAAAGACAGGGAGAGAGGGTGAGTGAGTGAGTCTTATGGTGATACAGTGTTATCTGGCTCTGGCGTTGCTGTACACAGTGTGCCAGCCAGCACACACTTAGCACCCTGTGCCTTCTTGGATTTACGAGTGATTTTGCTAGACCTTTGAGTGTTGCTTGACGGGTAGGAACGAGCAAACGGTCCCGGCTGGGCTTGGAAACAGGCAGGGCGCACAATTTTAAACAGTCCGAGCCCATCCTATGAGAACAGGGGATGCGACAGCTCGTTACGTCGTTGAGCAAGACACGGGCACTACCTGTGGGCTCATGCCCCGAAGCAAAGAAGAGCCACAAAAGTCGTAGGCTATACGGCGTCAAGCACCTTTTTGTTCGTGTGATTTGCTTTAGATTTGTATGTAAGCCGAGACAGACATACATGCATGTTGCGCTTAGTCTCGGCAGCTCCGCCTTTCCAAGCCGGGGCCAATGAGAAATGACTCGAACTCACGCCCTTGGGGTCATTCAAGAAAGCGACGTCAATTTTGAGGCTCTGAGCCAAAATCCACATCGAATCCGAGCTCCCAGCAACATGAGGTTTCAATACCAGCATGTCAAGATGCCCACGCCGCTTGCTTGCCACACTGACGGCATATCCATCCGGCTCCCAAAACGATCCGTCATCCACTTCTGGAGCATCCCTTTGAGCATTTCTCTGCGAGCTGACGCGCCACAGGCCTGGGAAAGCCGGCTCTTCCCCGAAAGCTACGACGAGGTGCAAAAGATCCCAACGGACGGACTTACCTTCGGAGCTGTCTACTGTACACAGTCGGCAAGTCTATCGTCATTCCTAGCTAAGACAGCTGTAGTTTACATCGTGTATGCTTGGAAGTTTCGGCGGCAGATTTCCGGCACAGTACTGTCCGATTGCTGCAACGGAAGCTCGCGCGATAAGTTGGTGTACTGAGTGGGAAGAGAGTTGAAACATATGTCCGTGAGAGTGGCTCCATGTGCTTTGCGAAGTCCTCCGGGTCGCGAAACCAGTTTGCAGCGACTGCAGCAACCTGAACCTCAACCTTCGTTCACAGCAAAGCCAGAAGCCAAACTGTTTCTTCGCTTCACAAGTCTCGCGGCAATGCCCAGGCGCAGCACTTTGACCGTGTCAAGTACGGCGTCCTGAACGCTGTGAATGACCCGCCTGGAGCACAGCGGGGTGGGCTTGAAGGCGTTGTACAGCTTGAGGTACAAGGGCGCATGCAAGAGAACGTTGCGTTGTGACAGCCGTCACATGTCTCGAGGAGAACAGCATAGCATCGCCCAGTTCCCTGGCACGGCATTGTTTTGCCGTTTCAGGCGTGGTATTGTTTCGGTGGCCAAGCAGTACGGACAGGCAGGTTGCTCCACGGTTTCATCCGGTGGTCCAGACCGGTGTTTTGCGTACACGGCAAGCCTCACCTCTTTGCAAGTACGAGATGATCAACATCGAAGATTTGAGGATAGTACATGCAAATTTCAGAGATTCCTCGCCAGTATGACTGCCTGACGAGCCGACTGGAGATTTTGACATCCCAAGCCCTGCAAGAACTGAAGAACTGCCAGTCTGACGTTTTTGTACATGCCTGCGAATGCCCTGCCCTTGCGCCACGAAGGACTACCTTGTGCTCCGGGGTGCCCGGCTGCGAACCACTTTTTCGGACCGGAGGGCTGGCTTCTGCACCTTCAGAATGGTTCAGAACTGACGCTGTAGCCATGTGCTGGCATGCGACTGGCAATCAATCGGGTCAGGAACAGGAAAGAGCCACTTGCAGACGTGTGCAAGCTGTTTGCCGTTTGGATGCCGGCTGCACGGTCCTACAGTAGTTGGTGCACCGGGCTAGTGATCTCCTACTGATCCGTTTCGTTCACATTGCAGAAGACACTTAGGACGACATCGGGTAACCATTACCACGTACGAACCCGGAACTAGCAGCGGAACCTCGTTGTGATTGCACAGGACCGAGACTCCTGCACACAAGGGCAACAAGCTTCTTGCGACGCTTGCGCCGAGTGGTGGTTGCGAATTCGTTAGCTGTGGTTGCTCATGCGGGCCACTTCGATACAGCCGATCTGAGCCCTTCACAGCAACCAAGATTGCTGCAGCAGAGCAATCGGGATGTAGATATTACTTCGCGACCAGTGTTGTTTTGCCCAATGCCATTGGACCTGAACGCTGCCGAACAAACGCCTGCCAAGGAATGGTATGCCCACGTTCTGGAGCCACTTGGTTGCAGGTCAGCGTTTGCACAATGTTTGTTACAGTTCGGAGCACTTCATCAAGCGCTTCATCATTCTGGACCCGCTGCAACCTCTGAAAGAATCGAGGCTCTCTTTGTCCGATTATGCGTCCAACTGAGTCCTATCAGTCCTACACAATGTTATTGCATCCGAGTACTTGGTAGAGTCGAATAGTTCAGCTCTCAGACCGCACAGCTCTGCAAAAATCAAAAAGTTATTTCTTCTGTCATCCAAGAAAATGAAAGACAAGCAAGCGACCCTGCAACCAGCTGGCACATCCTGGAAGACGTAAATAGCAATCTAAATATAGTGCCGCGAGTAATTCGTAAGCCGTAGGCATATTTAGGGCTAGAAGCGCTCAGGAAGTACACAGATGCCGAGCTTCAGGCAGTGACCGAGGTCGGGCAGCTCAGGGGCTTGACTCGGTGTTTCGGACAATGGGGTAGTCTTCAAGTCTGATCCTTCAATCCTTGAGAAGGTTGCTCTTGGAGATCGCCTATATGTGGACTCCACCGTGCTTGACACGGCCGCTGGGGGGTACAAGGCCCGCTGCACAGACAAACGCGCAGCTGCACTTGGCTTGGTGTCTCTTTTTGGGGATCTCCGGTGTGTCCCTGCTTGATTTCTTGTGTTGGGGTGTCCATGACTTCAGGGTTCAGTCCTATTAGACGGCAATCGATTCGTCGCAGTTGTGGAGTCGGACGCTTGTCCCTCAACAAAGCGATGTGAAAGGTTTCCTTCTTTGAAGGCTCTTGGGAGTAAACCCCGAGGCCGCAACTGCATGCCCCTGCCGAAGACACATACGAAAGCAACGTTCTTGAGTTAAATGAAGCACCAAGCACGCGCAGGTCTTGCAAACAATCCGTGGTAGATAGTAGATACTGTCGATCAACGTGAAGGCAGTCACGGTTTGCGCACACCGCAACAGCAGCACAAAAACTGCTGCATGGAAAGAAGCCAGAGTCTCGAAAACACCTGGTAGTAACATAACTTGTTCGTTGGCAAGTTTTGTTGATGCGCTTGCTGCTCTTGACGGCCACGCGGCTCGAGCATTCTGGGTCTCCTTCCTCATCCGCATTGTTGTCTCTAGCGTTCCATCATAATGCCGCTTGGCTGCACCACATGCCGTTCATGTCTGATGTCGCGCCGGTTCTGCGTACCGAGGTCTGAGAGTTCCGAGAAGCTCCCTGTTCCTCCTGACGCCAGGAAAAACATGAGTCGAGTTCGTGACGCTATTGACTGAGGTAGCAGGGGAAAGTAAGTTGCTAGTCATTTCGGTACCAAGAGCTTTTGTTTGTTCATGGACAGCACTGCTTTGCTTGACGTCTGCCGCTTCATTTTTGAAAGCAGCGAGTGAATAAGACGACAACCCAGTCTCAGATGTTTTAAGAAGGCCGCCCACGCACGGAGGTCCATCTTGGCGTAGAGCGATGCCGAAGCAGGCCAAAGCAACAGAACAAGCATAGTCCCACTGTGTGTCAAGAGCTGTACAGACGCGGCGTGTGAAGCTTTGGGTGTTCTGAGTCTGTGTAAGATGAGAGGATGGGGCATCATGGGGCCACAAGTTGCTTTTGGGTGCGTGACATGGAGTCGCGCTTGTCGTCGCCTTAGGAGAAGGCTGGAGAAGACCTTCTGGCCAATTTGCATTCTCCTGTCATCATCGATGCCCGGGATCCTGGAGAGGCACTCAGGGCCGGGCCGGCATGGCAGGTGGTCTGAGGATTCAAAGCTTCATGACAGTTTCATGACACCGGTGATCTCCCAGCTTGACATAAAGGTTCCGCTGTCGCTTTCTGACGGCTGCTGTCCCTGCAACCTGAACGTGCTAGGCACGCGTCGCATCCATAGCAGCACTTGCTGGCCCCACATCACTCGGGAATTCAAGCTCGTTAAGCCTCGGAATTGATTCGTCCTTCCGGTGTGAGGCCCTTACACGAAACCCTAGAATCCGAATAAGTGCGACGAAGCCCAACAGCTGAGAGCCTGGAGGTCGAGGGGAAGAAGGGAGGCGAAGCGCTCGAGGGCTGCATCCACGTGCCGCCACTAGGCTTCCTCGAAGTGCTGGATCGTAAACACAGCGTGACGCTTTGATACTATATACGACATGCGACATGTCCACAGCTCAGGTTGAACATGGATGGCATGAAACAGTCGGACCGTCCAACAACGAAGGACCCCCAGCATCATCAGGAAAGCATAGTGGAGCAAGCAGATCCGATCCACACAGATCGAGGGTTAACTTGAGAGTGCAGGAAGAATTCCTGGAGAAGCTGACTGCTGCAGAGGCTTTGCCCAAAGATCAGCCACCTGCCTTCTGTGTAGAATCGCGAGAATCGGGAGCAAACACCGAAGCCGCTCACACGTTTCTGAGGTCGCAGCCCATCATCACTCACTGCGGCAACGGTGGCAGGGGCGGCAAGGCCGCTGCGCTGCTCCGGGACCTGGGCTACTGGAAACTCGGCCCAGGGTCCTATCACCGAGGCCTAGCTGTGGGATGAATACCTGTTTACTGTAGACACTGTAGACTTCAGGAAGCAGTTTTGGGACTCGCATCGTGAGGACCCCTTTGTCCTCTTCGCCTGTTTGCCTGTCAGGGCTAGTCAAAACAACCCCGCACATCAACCTGCACTGCAGACCTTCGTACAGTGGTTTGTTTTGGCTGAAGCTTTCGAGCCTCTTCCTGTTTAATGTTGAGCCGTCAGATCTGTGCTTAGGGCGGACGATGGCTGGACTGCCAGACTGACTGATTCACTGACCATCAACCATCCGCAGATGCTTCACACCTCGGCAAATTTCGAGCAAAAAGCCACAAATGAATGTTGCTGAACTTCAGAGCCACGGTTCGAAAGTTCTTGTGGAGCCGGAGATTTGAAGGTGCAGCAAACAACAGTGCAAGAGCCCTGTGCCAATGCAGGATCGAAGACGAATTTCTCGGAAGCTTCAAACCCGACCAGCCGCGGCGCAGACTCCCCCACAGCCCGGATGTTTCAGGAATGCCCATAACGGCGGCTCGCCGGACCGGATCCGGGAGGCACGGAGAAAACCACCGGCTGCTGCACCGCACCTGAGACGGCAACAGCAGAGGCAAGTTTTGCCAACAGCCTGTCACGAAGGTTCACTGCAAAGTTTTGCCGCTGCGTGTCGGGCTGCTTATAATATGGGACAAAGCCCGGGGATTTCTTTGTTACGACTACATCTTACTATACCGTACTACTCACCCGTTTTGCAAGCACAGTGTGCAGAATCCTTTCACAGCTTGCGGTGAGTCGAAACGTGTGGCCCGGATTGGAGCCACTTTTTCCTCGTGGAACATCCCAGGCTCTCGCAGCCGCCCGCAGTCGCCGAGAGCTCTGTTCTAGCCGGCTTGCAGCCGGTCTGGTCATGGGATGTCACACTTTCACCTCGACTGTCGGCTAGGCAGTTGAATTTGTAGGATGCCGTTAACATGACAGTTGACAATCCCGAACTGGCAAGCACTAGGTCACGAAATCCAGTTGCGCTCTTCCACCCATCTAAGCAAGGGTCTTTCGTGATAGCAGGTGCCAAGTGGGAATTGATCCTTGATCGCACATGTTTGCAACACCCTGGAACCACACTGCAGGCATGATCCCGTCATTATCGACGCCAGGGATTCTAACGAGGCAGCGTGGCGTGCTTCTGTCTTGCACGAGCTTCCTAACTAGTCAAACTACGTAGTTACTACACCCTTTCCTGACGCTACATGTCGTTGAAATGGCATGAGAACCTCTTCGGAGCCTGTACTGTCTGGATTCTTTCACGTTCACGACAATTTGCGTTGACCACATGGAAAGTGAAGTCAAGAGAGAGAGAGAGAGAGAGAGAGAGAGAAGAAAAAGAGAGAGAGAGAGAGAGAGAGACCCCATCGGGGAATACCCCTGATGTCAAAGCTCTGGACTAATAGCACCTTTCCTACCGGATTATCTTGATTGTTGTCTCCAACCAATTCCAGATGCTGAGGGCATGAGTTCGTCCTTTTTGGACGCTCAGTGCCGTGCTGTGCAAACTTTCCTACAATCTCCTCCGCAACAGTCAGGTGTGCTTGAGCGCGCGGTGTAGGGGGTATATATCCCTGGCAAAAGAAAAACAAAAAGAGGGGCGACTCGTAGACACAGTGTGCGGTAGCTTTGTTTGATGTGCAACGAGCCACCGAGAAGCCTTGGCAGAGTGCGAGAGTGCACCGAGGTGGAAGGACTGAAAGGCGGCGCGGCCCTTGAAGGTCGCCCTTGACCTTGATGTTGATTCTCAAAGCTTTGGTTTCTGGTTTCAGCGGACTTCAGTGCATGTTTGGATCAAGGTTTCAGGCTGCCGCGGGGTGGAGGATTGATGAGCATTCGGTTCAGTGTAGTTCCCCCAACCCTGCAATTAAGGTTCTTACGTTCAAGGTAAAGAGGATTGATTGAGGGCAGCCGCGCTGCGCACACAACAATGGATGGGTCCGGCCTGCATCTCACGCTGTGGTGTGGCGAGATGCGGTGCGTAGTTTTCGCTGGCGTCTTTCCGTGTGCGGAGGATTCTTGTCAGGAGCACTACTCCCGGCATTTTAGGAGTATCCTGGTCGGGTGGTCTCCTGGTGTTCTCTTCGTTGTCTCCTAGTTATAGTAAACTGCATGGTCGTGGTGATGCTCTTTGACTGTTTGATATTCTATGTTGGCATACTTTGTCTGTGCTATGCACATAACTTATCGTAGTTTCATATGTTGGAAATTGGGCATGTGGCACTGGCTAGAGGGGACAGAGGCACTGGCACGCTACCTGCAGGGCATTTGTTGGCCTGCTGCTTTTACGACGTCCAGATTCCAGGCTGCCTCCACGTTCCGATGAACATCGACGGCAAGAAGCAGACCGAACGGCCCACCACCACAGAAGAGTTCTTTGCAAAGCTCCAAGCTGCAGGCACGAGAGAGACTTCAACATGCTTCAATGCCAAAGCAGGTTACAGCTTGCAAAGTTGGGTGCAACGCAGCAGGCTGGCGGGGCCGCTGGCTCATGTATTTAGGTGCAACATCTACCGTCTCTATACTAAGTACTAAAGGTTCAAATGCTCAAGCGCAAATAGAGATCAACCAGAACGCAGGACATTACGTACACTACAGCTTGACATCATAGCCATAGCCATCCCTTAAACATGGGAGGTGCACTTCCCGCAGATCTGGGAAAGCCCATCATCAGCCACTGCGGCAGCGGCGGCCGTGGAGGGAAGACAGCACTGATTCTGAGGCCCAGCTCTGCTTCCACCGTACTTTTCCTAGGCTCGTTGACAATTGTCCGGTTGTTGACATTCATAAGCCTTGTACTCTTTCACTGCGGCTGGGGATATATTGGTCTCACGGCGCTTGCTGTTGTATCCCTGGAACCTTCAGATGGAACGCTCAAACAGGTTTATCTGGAGGCAATCGAGCATGTTGTAAAATTCGTTTGAGCCTTGACACTACTGTGCTAGAGTTCTTGCCGCGGAGGCTTACTACATATCATATGACGTCGGAGTGTACGGGTGGGTTCTCTTCAGCAGAGGCATTTTCCATCATCTCCCAAACTCTTCAAGCACGCTAAAGCCTGACCGCAGCCTGGTAGCCAAAAGCTGCGGAAATGCCCGAACTTCCCAAATCTGTTGAGTTCGATGAGATGCAGAGGCAACTCGGTTATTGGAACGCCCACAACGGCGGATCCCCTGCCACCCAGTCGCACTTACCACTTCGCGGTCAAGTTGTGATTATGTGCTCCGCGATCAAGCTTGGCATCCTGCATGAAAAGATCGTGGGTTGCACTGGCTCGACCGGCTCCACGGTTTGGCCAGGAGACAGATGAACGGAATCTATGGAAAGTCAGATGACGATTCGACAGCGAATGGGAAGTTCGTGGAGGGCAGTTGCTTTAACTTGCGGCTCAAAGCGGAAGTGCTTCATTTGTAGCATATTGTAGCCCAGGACAACATCCGTGCGGCACGAGGAACATCGTCCTGAGACGGAGAGTACACTGTTGGATTGGAACAAAGTTTCACGCATGCTAGGTATGTCTGCCCAGGTAGAGTTTTTCCAGAAGTTGGTTCAACTTGTGGTAAGGTGGCTTGCCCGATGGCCGAAAGCATCACGTATGTCGGGTTTATTACACAGAACATGCAAAAAGATGATGCCTTCCCGCAGGAATGAGTCGAGTCTAGCAGTTGACAAAAGCTCGCCATACAGATAGATTCTCCTATTACTGCGCGTCGTCGCTACAGCGATGGTTCAAATCCTCCCTCCTAGCCCAGTTCTACAGCTCCCCCACATGACACAGAACCTTGGCCTCGCTGTCTTAAGTGTTTGGTTTGTGCATGTTTGCCTGCCCGCATTTATATATGGGGACGTGCTTCTGCATGAAGAATATGAAGAAAGCAAGGCAATAAGAAGGCATGTCGTTTGATGTGCTGGCGCATGTACGTGCTGCATCCATGGGCGGATACGCTCAGATGCGTATGCATCCTACACATGTTCTAGCACATCGTTTCTGAGGTGCATGCGTGTATCTGTGTTGTATTGGAGGCGTACTTGCATGAGTCTTATTCTGCGAACTATTCGAAGTCAGCTATGTTTGAGTCTACTTGCCTTTAATCCGGACAGCATGCGCTGGCAAGTTGGCATGCGCACACGGACATATATGTATACATACATATATATATATATATATACACACATACATATAGGTTCATGCTTCGGGCCTGAGAGCATCCACTCTTTGAAAACCGTGAGCCAGCCAAGCACTCCACCGCGCGGATCAAAGGGTGAATGCAGAGCTCTGCGTCAGCAAGTTCATGAGCTTGGAGTAATCAGCTGTGAGTGCTAGTAGCTTGCATGGCTACACGTGACCGCAGGAAGGCCAGATCACTTTTGCATTTTGCAGATCTTTGCGGTTTGAATTTACATCCAACCACACAGTCTGGAAGCTCCCAGCATGCCTCGATCTCGTCAGGAGGTGCAGATTCACGGAGAGATTGAGTTCAAGAAGCATATCGAAGCTGCATCCTGGCTCTGGCAAGGATGTGCATGAGTTTCGTGAAGTCATCATCACCGGTTTGGCCACGTCTGATGTGAGTGTAGCTTTGGCTTGCATCGTCGAGTCTATGCATCCCTTATTGCTGACAAAGCCCAATGTCAAAATCGCACAATCTTTCGATAACATACCCAGCTGCCTCTGATTGAGGTGGTGGTGCATCCTTCCCGGCGCAAAGGCAAACATCTTGAAAAGAGCCCTGCCTGAAAAGTCGTCAGGTTTGTTCCGAGAGCAAGCGACATTTCCTGTGCAAAACATGTTGCCTCAGCCACCCGAAGCTGGACAAACTGGTTCTCCCAGCATGTCATCGTGTGGATGGGTTCAACGAATCTACATTTTCCTATGCAGATGTTCAACACTTCGAATTTCCGATTGAGCCTGCCAGGATAGAAGCCTGGTGCCGCGCGATCAATGTTCCCCTCCTGAGCCCTGGTTAAAGTTGCATAGCACTGTGTGTAATGAAAGGCTGCAGGCCTGTCATGGCTTTCTCAGGCATGCAATTCCAGACCGGCGAACATGCCGACACGGACATATGCACACAGAATTTCTAGTTGAACAGCAAAGACAGGAATGAAGGCCCTTGAGACAGCGTTGACCTGCATTTTGAGGCGAATGCCCGAGTACTGCGACGGCACGGCCTTCGATGCCCCCTGGCCCCACGCCTCGGGGTCCCAGCTTGTGGCCGGGGGCCTCAGGGCTGTGTGGTGGGCCACGTTGCTTCTGAATCTGCGCGCTTAGCGAGACACAGGCGGCACGTGCAGAACTTTCGTGTTCCTGGGGATTCGGACAGCGGCGGGGGATTCGCGGGGATTGGGTTGCTGTTGCTGTTTGCTACTTGGTCTTAGGAAGAACTCCCTTGACATTCAAGCATTGGGTAACTGCAACCAGTGCCCAGCTTCCCAAAGGGGTCTGGAGGTGTGGACCTGTAAGCTCAGGCGGAGACACCCCTCTGGAGATGGAGACCCTTGCACTCCACTGGACCAGAAGCGATTGAGGGCTTCAGACCGGATCGATTGGGTTCTGCCTCGTGACGTTGACACGATGATGAGCTGAGGCATTGTACTTTTTCCTGGGATGAAGAACAATGGCAAGCCGCTTGCGCCTAGCTCCACTGCACCGTTCCGGGTGAACTCGATTCGTAGCTGATTGGCAGCTGCAGCAAGCCAAGTCCTCGCCACAGCAGGACCTTGGGTGAGGTTCGATGTTATTTCGTGCCTTGGCATTGAGAAGGGGTGTTGGAGGTTTGTTTCAACTTGGCTTGGCCTTGTCTCGGGGACTTTGGACTGAGAAGCCGGGCCCAGCCTGCCGCTGACGCATGCTGACGCAAGTGGGAAGTCGTCCGAAGTTCTTTTCGCCAGATCCTTTGCTTCAGGTCCTCAGTCCTGGAGGCACGCAGAGCTCTGTCCGGCATTTAAGTTGAAGCCCGAAAGCGGGAGCTGTTACTTGCTCTGCAGCATCTTGCCGCCAGTGGTTCGAAATGGCAGAACTTCCTGCTTGCTGAGATTGACACCCCTGCTGGCATCCTCAAGCCAATCAGGTGTATTTGCACGAACCCCACCACTGTGCGTTTCGCTTCGGCATTCCCCGCTCATTCCGGAAACCAACCATGCACCTACTATAAAACCCTGTGACGGCAACGTCGCCGGATACTTAGTCCCAGCCAATCGAAAAGGGCATGCTTGGGCTCGACAGGCCCGACGGCGGGATGTCAGCGATGAGCTCCCCTGCCTCCCTGCCCGGCACTTGAACGCAGGGTTCCAGTGTCTCAAAGGCTGCCAAGCTGCAACCTCGCTGACCTCGCCTTGCACAACCCTAACTTTCTTACAAGTACCGATGAAGCCCTTGAACTACAACACCCCACAAAACAGACTAACCGTAACTATCCGATACTCAGTTCGGAAAACCTGCCACTTGGGAGCACTACCGACCATCGTGCTGCAGATCGTTCGGCTTCCAGGCTTTTGAGATCTGGGATGGATACTATGCACAAGCGTTGCTGACAGGCTTCCTTTGCGCCCCCTGCATTATACGGCCAGTGTCGAAGAGCAGATCTGGCAATCAAGTATGTTCTTGCTGTTATGTAAACCGATAGTTTGACCGATAATGACACTGCTGCGCGGTACAGAGTCTGCTGAATTGCTGGGAAGGTTTAGGCTGATCTTGGTGAATTCTGTGTGTCTGTCTGTCTGTTTGTCTGCACCCATGCATGTGAGATCGAGGCTTGTCTAGTGCCGCAGTAGTAGCTTGAGCCGAGCGTCGAAACACAAAATGCCTAAACTCCTTTGGCGCCTGAAGTATCACGATATGCCCAGCTTCATCTTCTTCTTCCAGGCGGGTAATGTCTGCAACCTGAACCTCTCGGCCATGACCGCCAGAGTCTTCGTGGACCGGAGCGAGGCCGGGGAAAGAAACTGAGTAATGTTTGAGTACGTGTTAATGAGTTTGGGTTTCCAGTCTGTGAACGGGGAGCATTTCAGGGACGCAATGTGTATGTGTGAGGCGGGCTTGACTTGAGGCGTTGAGTCTTTCGCAGTTGGACCTTGGGTCGGGCTTACATCACATCGGCATCGAACGTTGATGTGAACTGGCAGAGGTGCAGCCAGGTTCGCATTGGGTTTGCATCGAAGACTTTCGATGCATTTCAAGTCCCGTCTGCAGGTCAGCAATGCGAATCCTGCATTCCACTGATTCACTGCCCCGTTTTGCCTCACATGTTCCCTCCAAGTAGGAACAAGGCACAACGAGCAATGCTTGCATTGCTTGCCTGCTACTGTAAAGGTCGAGCTGAGCTTGCAGCGCCGCACTGCTGGTGGGAGCCTCGAGCTTCCGGAGAACAAGAAATCAGGGCTTGGCCGCCGCAGACAATGCGTTACATTCGACGGTCAAGCTTGTCACAAAATGGCATAGGGCCTTTGAAATAGTGTTACATATGGTTACCTCGTGCTGGAACATCATGCGTCTTCCGAAGATTACATTGTTTCTTTGAGCGTGTGATGGGTTTCTATCAGAATCACTTCACGTTCCCAAGCCTGACTCACAAGCAAGAAGTATTGAAACCTCATTCTATCAGAATCACTTCACATTCCCAGGCCTGACGCACAGGCAAGAAGTATTGAAGCCTCATGTTCCATCTGTAAAATCAGCGCGAATGGAAGCAAAGACTTCTGCCCTGTCCACCTACACATCCTGGTCAGGCCCCATTTTTGCAACCCAGATACACCTTGCTTGTACTTATCTCGTGGGCAGCCAGCACTCCATGCCAGGCGCAGGTGCTCGGGAGCGTGCGAGCGAAAACCGATCTCGCAACCACAAATCCTTTGTTTGGGAGTTCCTCGGCCTCCTTCAGCTACATGGGATGAACATGTTCAGATTTGGGGCTAGTGACGGGCTTCTTTCACCCAGGATAAGATCTTGCACACGATGGAGTCTTGAGGCGGATCTCGTTTTCTGGGGTTCGCGATGCTAGGATTCTGCCAGTCGCTTTGATGCGCAATGGAGTGGTAGTAGGAGTAGTCGTCGTGGTGGTGGTGGTGGGAGTAGAGTAGTCGTAGTAGCTGCATGTCGTAGTAAAGTAGAAGTACTAGTGGCGGGTACTTGCAGCGGTTAGCCGCACCGGCATGTGGGAAGACCCGGATATTACAAAGTAGAGGAGCATAGAGATATTTGTATGAAGTGCCAGAGCACTTTGCGGACAAGATGCTCCTGAAACCATGCTCGAGATTGGGTCGCAGGTTGAATACTGTAAGCCGGGGAAGCGTGAGCCAACAAGGCAGAAACTTGTGAGAATTTCTCGTGTTTTCTTGTTCCTGTATTGGAAACTTCTGAAATTTGTGAAGCATCGCATTCCAAGGTGGTGCGCTTCAGCGAGTACAGATCTTGGCCAACTCTTGCAATTGATGACCATGCCCGCACTGTGCGGCTTGTGGCCGTGTGTTCATCTTGTGCGCTTCTGTACCGCCATTTGAAATGTTCTGGCCCGGGGCAATGTCCTACGTTGTCCGCCTAGCATCGCCCCAGGCGGCCACGGCTCTTGGTGCAGGGACCCCCAGGGCACAGGGCATGGATTCTGACGGAAATGTCAAGCGCAACGTAGATGCATCAATGGCGAATGTCTTCATGCACTTACCCTTTGATCCTCACGCACAGATTTTTGCACCTGTTCCCTGAAGAATGTAGGGACCTGTGGCGTCGCGAGGTGCATACGACGCGGAACGCACGTCCTCGCTTGAGAAGGTGGGGCCACAGGCTTTAATCGCAATCAGACGCCCTGGTCTGCAACAACATGCAGCACATCCTCGGGCCCGGCTCTGCCTTCCAAAAGCAACTGAAACTGCTCTGGATAAGTCTTGCCCCTGTGGTAGCTGTAAGCTCGGCTCGGCGCCACTGTGCTTCGTCAAAGCTCTCGTGGCGCCAGGCCTGGTGCAATCGCCTTTCGCGACTGAGCTTCAGCAGCTGCACTGCAATGCGAAGAGCTTCAGTCAGCGGACTTTTCTGGACAAGCTGCACAGGGCGTTTGAGCATGCTCATGATTTTGCAGAATCAAGATTGAGAAGCTGAAGCCCTCCGATTGAGTTGCTACCAGTAGCCGTAGGAAACTTTATAGTCATCGAATATGCAACCACGAGATATCGTCCGTGAAGATGTGACGGGCGGTTGAACCCAGGCATGAACGGAGTGAATTACAACGTCGACTTCGAGCTCATGGTGCAGGCTACACATAGCGGATTGCGGTCCTTGTAAGCGTCGCCAGGCAAGGGCTTAGGGCTGAGGTAGGAGCCTTTCAGACGCGGACGGGATGTTGGAAGCGACTAGCACATTCTTCTGCGCACATTTTCGGCACGCTCTCGTCGACTAAGCTGACCAAATGTGATCTAATTACGATGGTTTCATTTGGCTGCCAGGTCAACTGCGAGACAAGATATCGCAGACTTGTCCGTCGACGTCCTGCATGAGATAGTTCTGGTTCTAGCATGGCTTTGCCGACGCAGATGCCACGAGAAAAGCAATCTGGAGTGCCTGTGCTTGGTCTTGCATGGAGTCCCAGCCGAATCCAGCCAACGGGATTGCAGAACAAGTCCGATCATGAGCCGCGAGAGGAGGGAAGGGAGCATGCCCACATCAGACTTCATGGATCACACAAGAAAGTTTGCGTGCAGCAACCAACGTCAGCCGGCTAGCTAGTTGCAAATGTTGATAGTTTGTTCCACCATGGTAAGATGCAAGCACGTCCTGGACCGAAAGTAGTGTCCATGGGTCGTGTACAGCGACAGCTTGATGGCCCAAGCGCCTACGCTCGCAGAGTTCCACGCTCCTTCCAGAGAGGAGCGGGCAGCCGGGCGTGCCTTGTGCTTTGAGCTGAGAAGCGGGGCGTTGGATTGCCACGAGGGGTACAAGTAGTTGCCTTGAGAACTTAGGCGGAGCATTGCTCTGGCCGCCAAAGGCCAGCACCGAACGTAGCGTTGCCAATTGCTGGCATGAGTTTTTTTCCGGGCTTCCTTATAGGCACCTGGGCTTCCGGCTCTGTGCCCTGGACTCCCCGAAGCAGTGCCTCCGGCACTGGCGCTGGCCTTGCAGCGCCACTTGGGCTGGCATCGAGCGTGGAGTTGCAGGCTTATAAGACGTGCTAACAGCACAAAACGGCGCTAACATCTCACATCACAGGCCGGCAGCAGGTGTTCGTATAAGACGAGGCGGAAAAGATGATCCGTACTTGGCAGGTTGAGCTCATACTCTAGCTCATGGTGGCAGTCAAAAGACCATACCCGTCCATATGCTGGTTTGTTGGCATGCTCAGAGTCAGAAGCATGAACCTAGGTTGTTGTTGTTGTTCGCGAGCTGTCCTAATGCTCGACGGTCAGGTTTGCAACTGCGGTGTTGAGGACCGTCTTGAGCAGCAGCTGTCGAGCCTTGCATCATGCACCTCAACCCATTGTAACTTCAAGAGATACGCCGTCAGCATTGCGAGAATGTCGCGTTGTCGGGCTTCGTGAGATCAGCACTACCCATCGCAAAGTCGAACACGTGCAATTCTTCCTCCACTCATGCAACCCTTTGCGTACAGCATGTCCCCTTCCCCTGCCGGCACGATTGCTTGTAAATTCGGGCACTTCGTGTTACAAATTAATTACGCCGCCGTGTTCCTTAGCTGGTCAATTGATGTCAAACGGAAGGCACGGAACCCGAAGCTCAACTACCACACCTGACTACCACATCTTTGCAGCCCAGGTGGTCTCCCAGACATCTTGTTATACAGATGTTTCCTGCTCCTTGTGCGGGCGAGGCAGATCGATGACAAGGCAAAGGAACTTTGGACGAGAAGTCTTGCCTCCATTCAGCAAGACTCCTGTGATGTCAACTCCCTGTGCGACAAACGGCTTGCGGCCATTTGTGTGAGGATGAGAAGGAGGCCGAGCGTGGATATGCGCCGGTGCTCCTGAAACTCAAGGCCATGGGCTTCCTGGTGCACGATTCACTTCTTCTGCCTGCAGCTTGACTACAATAGCACGACTCCATGTGTAGCATTTGCTCCGAACTCGAACGTTGTATAGACGTTGCAGACGCATGCCCAAGGCAGATGCAGCGGGCCAGCGCAGGCTCTTGCTGTGGCTCGGTCTGGAAGGGGGCCGGAGACGTGGGACTGCTCTCGTCTGTCTTCATTCCTTGCAACGTCCTGGACCTCTGCTGTGTACTGGTTTAGCCCGTTTGGTCCCAGGCTGCGAGGCTGTGTTGCGAAAGATACAAAACAGTATTTCGCAGCAAGGCCTCTCGCAGATGTCACCAAGACATGCCGAAGATAGAGCACTGTCGGACATCTTGAACATTGCACACCTCGGAGCAAAAGCCTTGCTGTCACTTGCTGCACCCATATCTGAACGAAGTCAACTTCTCATAAGGACTCCGGATTTGCCTTGCATGCCTGCCAACGCAATGTCGCTGCCCACACTTGTGTTGTTGGATATATAGTACGGCTTGCTCTTCTGACTTCGATATTGCACAGCGCCCCTGCATGCCAGGCTGGTGCAGCCGTCAGAACCCTTGAAGACTGCGACCCGGCCGAAGACAGATGCAAGCTGGATGGCTGGATTAGAGGAGTCGACCACGCCGGCAGGCGCAGCTGGCGAAAGCAGCTCGCAGCCTCGATGGGCCAAACCTCTCCGTGTCGCTGCAACCCCATGTGCCCACAACTGCCCACAGCGACGAGGCTTTCGGATTTCGTCGCCATGTCATGCGCATAGCAGACGAATCTGGTGCTTTGGCACAGGCCTCCCGCCAACTCCACGCCGATCACTGGCGCCAAGTCTACCTTGACTGTATGAAGTTCTTTCCACGGTCGCTTGGACTGATGTCGTGTGCTCGCTTCACATGCCTGCACGGCTGCAGCATGAAAAACTGACTTGCAAGGTCTTCGGGGTCTGGCTGAAGTTTGGCATCTTGTTTTGTCCCAAATTGCTCTCGGAGAGGTTCTTCCAGCCTCGCACACGAGTGCTGGCAGTGCCACCGTCAACTGAACAGGAGGCGAGTACAGAGAGACCCGTGATTTCCAATCGCTGTCATGCAGCATGTGTCTGGGCAGTGTGAACTTGCTTGGGCACAGTTTTGCAAGCTTCCCGTTTCTGGATCCGGGCAGTGGGGGGAAGGTAGAGGATCTTTCCTGCCACCTCCTGTTGCACGGCTTTGCTGTGCTGTGTGTGGTCGGGGCCCCTAGGGCAGGGACTTGCAGTTGCCAAGGAGTAAGCACAAGGGTCGGACGGATTTCATTATGGATTGATCTGCGTGATGACCTTCTGATGAGCTGCTCTTTGAGTCAGTCCCACTGCTAGAGGCCGCTACAGACAGTTGGTAACTGTAAACGCTTCGCGTCAGGGGGGTTCGGAGTGCACAAGAAACGTGGGCCGGGTCGGATGGGAACTTTGACCGCTTCGGCCGGGGCTGGTGTCAGCAGTGCGCTGCGCAGCTCATCTAATGCAGATCGCGAGCCACTACATTCGGCTGCGAGCGCCCAGTGCTAGACAACTCTATGCAACTTCTGTCGCGACTTGCCAAGGTCCACCCCGTGTCAGAGAAGACCCCGAAGGTCGATGCGTGCATCGTTGTGCGTGGGATCGGCATGCTTCCAGCCGAAGGCTCAGCCGGAATCTAGTCGGCCGATCGGATGTGGACTCACGAAGTCTATACGATCTGTGCAGGTCAAAGGATGCTGAGACGCTTCACGGGCGCTGTTTGTCTCGGGACAAGACAATACTAGAGTTTTCTGAAAGGGATTGCATTTGGCGATGGGCAGGATGATTTTTGTTGCACCACTGTCCCGAATGTCTGCGAAACAAAGACTCCTCAAAAGCTCTACTCTACTGCAAGGTGCCGGAGGAGAGTTCGGTGCAAGGCCCAATCCGGAGCATTGCTAGACCGTTGGACGAAATAGCTGGTTCTTGCGCAGATTCGTTTGCGAAGAGCATTCTATGCGCAGTAACTCTGCACGGCAAGCCTGTCTTGCTTCAAACAAGAAAGCCGTGGATTTCGATAACACAACCTGTTTGGTCGGGCGGGCTTTCTGTCGGGTGTGTATTGACATGAAAGCTTGCCATTCGAGAACTTCGATCGGAAAGCCAAAGTTTCAGACGTTGCAGTTCCAGGTTTGGCCATGTCGGGGACTGTGGATGATGCAGTTTCTGTCAAGGATTTGCTGGGTGTTCCCGGTATTACTGTAGCCAATCGTGATGTGTCGTCCTGACTCGCACCACACTCCGAACCACAACAACTTGCTTCTAAAATCGCCTGGCCGCCATACCGTGCCGAGCCCTGCTCTAGACCGTCCCTCCAAGCTGCTTACACCTTTCAATTCCTGTTCTTCCCAAAATGTCAGGCAGCTCTTGCTACCTTGGGCTGCCGCCGGGCACCAAGTCGCCACTGCCCTAGCCTTGCGGGATCTTGCGGGCAAAGGCTTCGCCAACCTGTGAGTGGGCCCTTGATACGTTTGGAAACCTCACTGAATGTCACTGAAGACAAGGACAACCGTGATGCTCCAGGCTTTGATTCGGCTGTAGCTCATGGGCACGATGTTTTGCGATTTACGATGCAGGCTTAGTAGCTAGAAAGCATGGCGACCGGAGGCTTACACCGCCAACAGGATTCTGCGACGAGCCTCAATCCCAAAAGCTTTTTGAAGCTCTGGATCGAGGGCCTTCTTTGGCTCAGGGCAGATCAGGCCTGTCCCCGTCGGTGCGCCATCGGTTCGGGTGCTCCGCCGCGGGTCTCCATGTAAGGCGGGGGCTCCTGAAGACTTTGTGAACTATGCAGTATCAGGCGCAAAGTCTGCATCATCCTGAAAACTGACATCAGAGACCAAGTTGACCAGAGGGCTTTTGTACTGAAAGGCGGCATGATGTGGCCACTACCGTCGTGGCTCCTTTGCGTGGGTGCTGCCTTGCCAAGGCAGCATCGGTGTGTGCAGTATAGGCCCGTAAAGGCCGAAAGGCAGGTATTGTATCACTGAGTGACATGCCGTTTTCAGCATTGTGCCTGTTGCTCCCTGCGAAGACACAGGCGACCTGGCCGCCGTCATACCGTTATACCTATTGAGTGATCTGGATGAGTTCCACCTCCTGCAGGAGTTATGTTGGCACGTCGGATGGGTATCCAGTTTTGGACGGCTTCCCGCAAAGGCACAAGCGCCTTCGACGGCAGCTTCAAAGCTCAGCGTTTCTAAGTGCCAGTTGCTATCATGAGACGTCCTGTTGGTCTGGCCTTTCGTCGACTAGGTTGCAGCATTTAAAGAAGAAGAGCATGCGTGCGCTGATGCTTGGCGTGTTTGCGTCCTGCACAGCAGCTATAGTAGCTATAGCAGTGCCCATCAGCGTTCACGAGCAAGGTCATCGCACATCGGCTTCCACGGCCCCACGGCACTTCAGTAACTGTAAATGCAGGCGATAAGTGGGCCGAAGCTTCAGTAATCTGTGATTTGAGTATGGATTTGCTGGGACTAAGAATCTGGAAGAACCGCGGTGCTGTGTGCCAGAGTAAGGAAACGAAGGAGATGCTGAAACTTCGATTTCCCCAGAGTCCGGAAATCCTGAACAGCAACATATGAGAAAGATGTCAAAAGAGGCTTCGCGATGCACAAGCCCTAGAACAAGAAGTAGGCCAGCTTTTTGGAACGACTGTGGCCGGGGGAGCCAGGCATACCCCGACACATGTGAGGCGGTGAGGGCAGGTTGGATATGGAACTGCCGCAACACACCGGCAAACTTCTGTGTCCGTCCGTGTCGGGAGTGCCGGTCATCCTACCATATAATGTGAATGTTTTGTGTGCGACAGGCGCCAGTTAGTTTAGACATGGAAAACAAACCTTTGATAGGGTTCAGGGTTTAGTTTAAACACAGAAAAACAAACTTTCGGAGTCCCGAGTAGGCGCAAGTTAGTTTAGACATGGAAAACAAACCCTTTACAGGGTTTAGGGTTTAGTTAAAACGCAGAATAACCAACTTTCGGAGTCCCGGGTAGGCGCCAGTTAGTTTAGATATGGAAAACAAACCTGTGCAGCCTTCAGGGTTTAGCGTGTCATCTTGCAGACAAGCACGGAATGAAGTCCTGCACACCAGCTTCCTTCTTTGGTCAGTCGCTGTAGACCCTATACCCTAAACCTTAAATCTCGTATGCCATAGATACTGAGTCTTGAAGGTTCTGCACACCAGCCTCTTTCTTCAGTTCTTGTAAACTTCAGTTCCTGTAAACCTTAAGCCCTATATCTTAAACCTTCTATCTCGTCTGCTATCTGTATCCAGGCTTTAGTTGACTTTTCTGTTATGCTTCATTTACTTCTTTCTTCGCTTCGAACCCCCCTAGAGCGATTTCGTGTGGCCTTCGCATTTGTGTTGGAAAAGACGTTCTTGTGTAATTTTCGGCTATACAGTTTTTAATAGTTTTCCTCGCTTTTAACCCCCGACCGAAAGCGATTTCGTGTGGCTGAATTCTTCGTGTTGGAGATAACGTGTTCAATCAGTTTTTGGTTATAAAGTATTTATTTTTTCTTCGCTTTTAACCCCCCTGAAACGATTTCGTGCGGCTCTTCTTCTTGTAGGTAAGACAACCTCCATCTTCCGAGTTTGTTCATCTCCCCTCGGAGTTTTTTGTCCTTCTGAAAACAAACCCCTTCCCCCAGAGTTTGTTTTCTGTAGCAAAAACAACCCCCTCCGCCTAGAGTTTGTTTGTTGTAGGACAAACACACCCCTACCCCCAGAGTTTGTTTTTCGTAGGAAAAACAAACCCCTCCACCAGAGTTTGTTTTTTGTAGGAAACACAAACCCCTTCGGACTTTGTTTTCCTGCTGAAAACAAACCCGTCCCCGCAGAGTTTGTTTTCTATAGGAAACAGAAACCCCCGCCCAAACCACTCCCCCTAGCGTCACTTAAGCAAACAAACTTCTCTCATCGGAGTTTGTTTTCCCACCGCTGAAATAAACTCACCCGGTCGGAGTTTGTTTGTACCCGCTGAAACAAACTTCTCCCATCGGAGTTTGTTTTTTCACCGCTGAAACAAACTTGGTCGGAGTTTGTTTGTACCCGCTGAAACAAACTAGTCGAACCGGAGTGTCAAGTTAGTTTGTTTTCCTCTCCTCCCCAAACCCCTACCCCCAGAGTTTGGTTTTTCGTAGGCAGTTATGCCAGAGTGGGCGTAGACTGAGTTGCAGCACTAAGTGTCCCTTTAACCTTTATTGGAAGATCGTTTGTGCAAGAATGCAGATTTTTCCCAGTGCGCCTATATACTTTAATCCGACACCCTGGAACCAGACCAACAACCATTTCGACCTGCTGCTTTCGAGGGTGGCAACCTGAGGAGATGGAGTGGCATCCTTCCTTGAAGCCAACTTTCATGAGAGCGTGACCTTGCAGGACGGTGGGCCTTCGATTTCAGTAGTTTGGGCACTAATCACTCGGTATCAGCTGTGTTGTTTGTGTGTGTGCGCAGTAATTTCTTGACGTCAATGCGTCCCGTCGTTGCCCCGTGAGGCTCCGGGAAACTACACAGCGCATGCCAACCACAACTCCAGCAGCTTGACAGCGGAAGCTCCGACGAGCCTACTTGGGAACCGCTTTCAGGTTCGGGGCGCAGAGACGAAACAGCTTCGGCCAGTCGCTCTCAAATTTGCAATTCGGATTCGTTTTGGGGTGCTGCTTCAAGGCTGAGTTTTCGAATCTGCATGCCGCAGTTTGAACTTTCGATCATCCCCGAGAACTTATACCTGAGAGACTGAAGTCTCTAAACATGCTCCAGCCGCAATCCCGATGTCCCAGGCAAGTTGCTGAACACTCCGCAGAAGGAGCGCTGTACGTCAGAGGTTCAGCTGTCAACGGTTATATACAGTACCTCCGGAGGAGAGGGCACAGGCTCCTAGGGGGGGGGTGCTTCCCTCGAAGGAGCATGACAAGATGTTTGTCCTGTCGCACTTCTGGCTGCCGAGCCTCGGCTTGCGACTTGTGTCGTTGACTGCACACTGGAAAGTGGAAGGCACTTGCCATCCTTGAGGGCCCCAAGGACGGCGTTCCCTGCTGAACTCACAGGTTTTCAATCCAGTCCTCGGCATCTTCAAACTGCCTCCACATAGTGACATAATTAGTGTTATCACTGATGATGGAGCTGCCTTTGAGGATATTGCTGGTATCATCGCTGCTATTTGAGGCCGGGGCGGACAACCCACCGAGACTTCTTCCAAAACTCCCAAGCGGATCCAGTTGCACCTTAGCCTCGCTGATGAACACCAGCAGAGAAGGTTTTGGTCGAACCTTTCTGCAGATGCCGGTTCTATGCTAATCGTACATCCACGGGTCTCAACCCGAGGGTAGGTTCACGGGTGGCCTTCGATGCTCTCTCTTAGACAAGGGTGAAAACCTGCCGCCACACCCACCCCGCATCATGAGGAGGTGAAAAGCCCAAGGCCACTAGCAATTGATTGTAGTAGTAAGCATCAATCCAGGATGCTTCGTCGTGAAACTGTGTCATTCTGTGTCCCTAAAGCCTTGACGACGCTGCATTGCACAGGCGCTCCACCTCAAGTGGTCGGAAGTGGATTGGTCGCGCAGTGCGCAAAGAACCGATGCTTCTGAAGGCGACTTGACTTTGGCATTGGGGTGTGTGAGAGGCAGCCAGGCATCATCGAGCGCTCTCTCCAGAGCTAGATTCTACTTTGATCGACTTGAACTGAGGGGCGGAGGAGCGTGTGGATACCAGTTTCGCCGGCCTCACTGTGAAGCTGGTTCGAAGGGCGGACAACCTGGCGAGGATTTACTTCGCCACCCGGAGTGATTTCTCAGCTTGCTTGGCCTCTCAGTCTTCAGACATCACAGCGAAAAGCCCAAGACGTTTCCAATCCACGCCGCCGTAACAGCAGTGCAAGCAGTCCCTGACAAGGAAGGAGCCGGTCGAGTCAAGGGCCGATCCTACATGTTGACGCTTGTCCTGCCGGTGCAGAGTTCTGGGTGAAGGGTTTGCAGCGTCACACTTCGCAAAGGTGTAGTAAACCTTTGAGCCCGGGTTGTCTTCGGAAAGAAAGTTTTAGGTTCGTGAAGCTTCGGGTCATGCATGAGGGTTTGCATGCTAGCCGGCGTTTTTGCTTTGGGGCCAATCTCTCTGCGTCTCCTTGCAGGGCGAGAATGTTCGGACAGTGCTTCGTACAGGCTCCCTGAGCATGGGCTTATGCGCTGCGCTGGGCTGCTTTTGCCATGGGCCATGACTGACTGAGGTATATGCAGGTCCTCTATAGTCCAGGGGTCTCTCTCTCTCCCTCGCCGTCGCTGTGCCGGACGCAGGGTCTCGGGTCGGGGGATTCTTCCTTCTCTTCGATTCCTTCGCCCGCCTGAGCCGGGGTTTGCAGGCGTTCCTCTTTTTGTGCTCGTCTGGCGGGGGGCGGCACAGGAAAAAACTGTGCTGTCGGGCTTTCCTCTCCTCGGCGGGAATTTCTCCATGTGCCTTGAAGAACACGGTTTTCCAGCCTAGCACTGTCCAGACCCACTTCGCAGCAGCCTGCGCAGGTCCCGGATTCAAAACTTGATGCCCGGCCTAGGATGCAGAGGCAAGCAAATTCGCATGCAGAGATGCTCCGGGGCCGTTGCCATTTTCTCCAGCTAGATCGAAGTTTGAAGTAGAGGTCTTACAAACTTCACTCGTTTCATCGACAAGCGTTCAACTCCGCCTGCTCAATGCCGTTCAGGGGACAGTGTCCCGGGAGAGAAAGAAACACCCACGATTCACCTGTCCGAGTGACCTCTGCAAGCGGTTTGAGGCGTGGCTCCGAAGGGTTGCCGTTTCTTCTTGACGTCTCATTGAAAACAGTGTGTCCGATGGCGGAGATGGGGAGGTTTTGTGATGGATGAATAACGATGCCGAGACAAGGAACTTCTTGAGCAAACAACTCTGAATGGTTCGAGATGACAGGTCCGCATGGTACATCGCGGTTTCTTCAGAATGTTATCCATGAATGTGTTAAACCGCAACAAACTTCGCAGATCGACTTCTCCACGAGATCTACAGAACACGAAGACAGTGCGAACCACTCGTGAAATGCCTCCAATAAGGATGCTGATGTGCCACAGCCTTTTCGGCCAGTATCTCAGCCTGGCACCCTGACCGATTTAGCATGCTTGAGGGATTCGTGAGTTCGAACGTATTTTTCTCGAATTAACCTCTGTTTACAGATCCGCACGAGTCCTTCCCGCAAGGGACCGTGCGGATTGGGTGGGCTGCAGGCTAGCATGTACCGTAGCGACTGGGCTACGGGAAGAGGCAAGAGACTGCTCAGCGCCGTGGTGTTCATGTTAGTGGCAAGCTCTCCAAATCTTCAGGTCAATTTCGACTACATGAGCCGGTTCTTCGATTTTTACCAGCACCCCAGCCAAGCCGTCTTCGTGGCATTGATGAGCAACTGGCTTGTTCTGTCGCTCGACCGGTAACATATCAAACATATCAACCAACAGCCCATGAATCCTACCTACTACACCGCCCGGCTTGTGTCTTGTTTACATGTGCGTGCGCATGCTTGATCAAGACACAGGCATGTATGCGGCTTTCTCGCGCGCGAAATCGAATCTTATAGCGGAAGCTGTATAAGACTCCTGCGACAAAGAGCAACTCCGTCTCCACAACAGAGATCCACAAGACTCCATGCCATATGCACTGCAAAAAAATGTTTCCGTTCAAGTTCAAAGAAGATGCGCAACTCTTTGCCCTTGGCACAAGGCTTCGATTAAGGCCGGGGCAGCCTTGTTTTGCTGCTTGAACGGTTGTGACAACGTTCACGATCAAAAGGGCGCTCAAGCCCACTGAATACAACACGAGCACTAGCGGTAGCAGTTTTGCAGCACTTTGGCAGTACATTATCGTCCGGGCTTGAAGAACAGGTTTGATCATGCCCATGTTCTGGATGTCTGCAGTAGTGTTCACGGTCACGTGCCGGGACTTGATTTCTGCCCCCGTGCCCCTGCATTGTGCGATGTGGGACATCGTTGGACGGTGTGATGTATGGGTTCGTGTGTTCTGGAGAGGTGATGTCATGCAGAAACCAGTACCTACTCTGGAGCCCAATGGAGCAAGCCTGAGTATGGAGGGCCATAGGCATGCATGCACATAGTCGTAGACATTAGCTCATTAGCTAGCTGGCACTCATCTTCTTGTGACGGGCTCCTCGCTGCTGCCAAGGTACGGAAGCATGTGCCTGACAGCTTCTAAGTTGCAGAGATTGATGGGCATACAGAGGGTCTCAGGCGGACATCCCGACCAGGCATGTAAACTTGCAGCATTGACACGGGGGTTACACACCAGTGCAGGTGCGAAGTGCACGCATGGCCCGATGACATCCTCACGTAGTGCACTCCGAAGAGTCCGAGGCGGTGTACTCTCAGTATATTGAGAGCATGCTCTTCATCCACTGGAAAGACCACATGACCCGATACTTCGAGAGGATTTGGGTGCCTGGCCTACCTTCGCCCATGATGTGAGTTCCGAGGTCCGAGACTTGAGAAGCCTGAAAGCCAGTCGAAGCGAAGCAGGGCTCACAATTCAGATTCAGGTGCCGCACAGCTACGGCTTCAAGATGAAAGATGCCACTCGATCATTCCGAAATTCAGCAAAAAATGCATTTGGCAGATGCATGTTATTGCTTTTCCCACCCAACCAGAGGTGCTAGACTGCTAGGGAAGAATGCGTAGCTGCCTTTGGGTCACTACGGCTCGCTGCACCTGTGCTGTCGGAACCTGGCCATGTCACTGTCAGGACAGCCGAGTGGATAACCCCGACCAGCGAATCCAGGAGGACTTGTGACATGTGTTTACTTCTGTTTATCTCGATTGCATCTGTGCCATGTCTCAATGCTCCGTGTATTGTTTTCTGAGAAGAATAGCTGCACGGAATTTGCCAAGATTGGGGCTCAGTCCTCGCGGCCGAGAAAAACGGAATTTGATTGCGAAGCACGTGGATCAAGCAGTCCCAGTAGGGTTGCATTCCTTTGGCCTACCAAAACCTTCGCCTCTAACTGTGACTTGCTTTGTCCTCGTAAAGGCATGAATAAAGGAAGGCCTGCTCTGGAGTAGTGCTGCGTCAGCAGGGCGTCAGCCAGGACATTGGCAGCTTTGTGCCTTCCACATACGACTTGACCATGGGAGCTGCTTGGAGTGTCGACTACACTTCGAGCCGTGTTGGTTTCGCTCGTTCTTGGCTTTCGGTCCAGCATGCTGAGGTTATGGATGCCACTTTGCAGCTGAGCATTTACAGCTCCGTGGATGATATTCGTTCAAGTCAGGACAAGGTGAAGATGCATCCTCATTCGGTGCCACAGTTTCAAGACGTTGCCCTTGAGCATCGAAGGCATCATGCTCATCCAGGTCCAGCCGAAATCAGCATTTCCTGGGCTTCTGCTTCTTGGCCGATGCCCTGTCATGGCAGGCCTGAGCTTGGATGAGGTGCTTCCACGGCCGGAGACATGCCACTCCAGCCTGGGTGGGAGCGCAAGTGGCAACCATAGGGACCACGAGATCACACTCAACTTGCAGATAGTCTAGCAAACATGGAACTCGGAGGAGTAACCGTGGGAATTACGCAATAGCGGTTGATGCAGCTCCACAACCTGACCAGTACAATGATGATCTTAGGCCCTGAGGCGCAAGACTGTTGTTGTGTCAGCCCTCTCAGGTTTGGAATTGCCATCATTTACACACTCATCGGCTCTGTGCCTGGGACTGGCATGGTTGCGTTTGTTACCCTGATAGTTTGCAAGGGCTTCACTCATATTCACCCCCAGCCTTGAAAACCCAAATCAGCCTCGCTTGTGGGCATAGATCCCCAGCCATGCGAGACGGGAAATCAGGCACTTGTGACCAGCACACGACTCCGGGCATTGGATGGTTGCGTCCTCGTCTCGTAGTACCAAGCCCTCACGGCCAGGCCCACTTGCTCTCGCTGAATCTCTCCCATACCTCGTCCGATTTGAGCGATTTCTGATATTTCTGCAAGAACTAGAGTCTAACTAGAGAAACCGAGAAACCTCTGACTCAATGAAGTTTCAACCGCATTGTTTAGACAAGGTGGGAGGCAAGATGCTCCAGAGGTATGTCAGAAAAATTGCTCACTGCCACTCTCATTCCAGCCCCTTGCTGGTACTCTCTTGCCGCACTCATCCCCCAGGTAGCCGTGCACTGGATCGGTCGAGACCTTGCGTTCCTATCTTGGCAAGGGGAGCGATACGGAGGCTCCACTCCCGAATCTGGGGGCTTTGCACCTGTTTCAGTGTTAATGGGGCGAAACAGCGGTCAAACGGGCTTGTGCCTGGTACGGTGTGAGATTTTGGGGCAATCTGGCTTAGTCAAAGCTGAGGTTGTGAGTTTCTTGGTTCTGGATTTCTTTCCTCGACCCATCCTCTAAACCTATTTGTGGCTTGAACAACTCTGAGCCCATGGCTCCCCCGGCACTGTTTTCATCGAACACAGAAAGGCCATTTCCGGGCAGAGCTCCGGCGCGTGCATGACCAGAGTGGCGTGGACGACTTGAGGTTAGGGCTGCGGGGCTTGAGAGGTTCTCATTTACACGCAATTCCACTGTTTGAACGTCGTAAAGCCTCGGTGTCGAACCTATGTGTCAAAACCGATGTCCCGATAGGACCAGAACCTGATCTCAGATGCCGTAGAAACTCTAGAGCTTTGAGGTGAGACGGTGGCCGCCCTCCGATCTCATGAGGCTGAACTTCAGCGGCTGGAGCAACGCTTCGAAGCCTTGAAGCGGCGCTGCTGCAACGAAGAAGATTCTGGTTCGTGAAGCTTTTGGGGTTGCCGAGAGACCAAGCCTCAGTGAGTCTCTGGTGCAGGTGGAATAAGTGGCAGGGCATGATCCTGAAGCATCCCGGCTGATGCTGGCGTTGTGTTTTGATTTTGGGGCTGCAAGTGCGAAGCAGGGTGAAATCGGTTTGCTGACCACTGTAGCATGCCGTGGTGTGTGCCATAGGGGAAGCTCGGAAAGGACTGCTTCGCACTCCTCACTCCTGGGATTTTGCAGCTCTCACAAGTCATGGTTGCCCGAGACCTGAGGAAGCGTCTCGGATGGTTCGATCGGATCTACGACCCGTTCAAATCTGTCCTGTTTGTTTGCGTCCTGATGCCGTTCTTCATCAAGGGAGAGGCTGGACACCTGCATAGAATCATCGAAGCCGCAAAGCCTAGGACCTGAGACACATTAGGCACGCTAGCAGCATGACAGCATCGATCGCTTGGACCCCACAAGCCTGAGAGTTATACAACCCAAGGTGAACGTCCCAACCTGAGTTCGGCTGCCAGGTGTCTCTAGGCACTGTGAAGCAGTGCGAGATGGCTTTGTCGCGTATTACTGCTTCCCTCGGTGTCTTGCCACACAGCCAAGTAAGTTCAGGGCATCTAGGGGCCAACGGCGCAACAAAACCCGGATATGATTCAAAAATATCTTAAAATCGTGTAGTCCGGCGTCGCGATGCGCGTCCATGGTATCCATGCTACTGACAACCTTACAGGCTAGCTCACTCAATGCTAGCAAGCATTGCACCCTGCGGTCGCGGGGGCGAAAGAAATTCCAGTACAGCTCAATGTTGACATGGTGCTTGCTAGTGTGATGGTGTCCTGACACAGCTACGCAGATGCTACTTCATGGCCTTCCTGATGCAGCCTGCTGACTTCTCCGAGGTTTCTTCATCCACGAGTACAAGCACCTGGCTTCCTACAGAGCTCAAGTGGATCGTTTGCTGCTTGATTGTAACTGCAGCATGGGGTTTTGTGGGCTGCAGAGGAGATGGCTTGGTCGCCCTGTCGGACGGGGGTTTCGAGCACAGTCGGGCCAAGACCAAGATTCTGCGATTGCGTATATGAGCTCTCGGAAGGTACAACTTTCGCTGCTGTGGTCTTGCATTCATGCAGGACCGCACCATTGTTCTGCATGTTTCTGAGTGATGCTTTTTAGGGGATTCTGTCAAGCAACAACAGCCGCAGTGTGGCCAGTCCAGAAATAGAGCAAGTGTATGCTGAATCCCGTTCACTTTCATGCCCAGGCCCTGGAAAGAGCACTCTAGACTCTAGGGCAAAGAAAAAAAGATCACAGAAGCATGTTGACCTTCGAGCCAACCTACATGTGCTTTTTGCATTTTTGCAGGAGAAGGCGGGCACGTCTTCCGACACTCCAGGTGGGAGGCGTGGCGGAAATAGAGTCATGGACTCAGGTGCGGCATTGACCACGAGTTCGTTGGCATGTGGGACTGGGGGTTCCAAGGCTTCCGAAGAAGAGCTCGATTTGGAGGTGCCGTTTTACTTTGTCTCCACTTGGTTCACAGTCAGGGATGGCGGGCACATGTCTTCTGGAAGTCACCAAGTTTCATTTGCAAAGACGGAGTGGGATTGCGGGAGGTGCCTTCAGCTTGGGTTTTCAGACCGCTGTGCACGCACGCACTTGGCCATGCACACCAGCCGAAGTAGCAACGAGCACATACGAGCGCCGTCCGCGCTCATCAGAACACTCTAGAGCCCGAAAGCATTCAATGCAGCTACACGTAGAATGCAGACATCCCACAGCCTCAACGCTCACACTACAGTAGCATTATGACGATGCCGTTCCGGCAAAGAGGCTTGTACGACATCCTCGAACGACTAGGCCGCCACACTCGCAGAGACGGATGCGGTTGCACATCAAGGGCGAGCCTGACCGCAAAAGCATCTGCGCCTTTCAATTCTCGAGGCAAATGGCAGAGCAATGCACACCTATCGGACTTGGAACATTGTCACACAGAGCTCACGTCTGACCGCTTCGCAGCAAGGCCGAGTAGGCAAGCGCAGCAAGAAGGCGACACTCCTTCCACGAAACATTGTTGAGCACCATGAAGGGAAGCCCAATCGGGCCGGGTCCGTCCAAAGCTCAGTACGGGAACTTTGCCGGAAAACGTCCAATGTATGTTTCGAACCCTTTGCAGAAACAGAGTCCCAAGCTTTCAGTTGCTGCTAGGTGGATGCATCACTTCGACAGCACCTCTCCACTGGCGAAGCTGTCCCGGCTCCGCAAGCACCGACGGCGGAGGCAAGTGTGCAGATCCTTAACGCGTAATGCATCAAGAACATAGGTTGCTGTAAGGTCTTCGAGGTGACGAGGCCTGGGTTCAGGTAGCGTTGGGGTTCAATTGTCGACAGGGTGAGTATGTTGCAGCGGGGTTTGGATGCCGCGTGAAAAGGTGATCTTGCAAGACACCTATTTCGGGATCGGTGCTGTGCCGAAGCAGTGTTGAGACGCGTTGGGCGATTGGCACGAGCGTAACGCGATACGCTGTTAAATAGACAGCCTCCGAGACTTCCCAACTGGTGCCCACCCCCGGCTGAGGTTCTGGAGCTCAGAAGAGCGCGGGTCAGTTTGCCCTCGGGAGAAGTGTTGATGGAAGCTGACTTCCGTGCGCCTTGGTCTTGAGCTTCGGAGTGTTTGGTCGTAGGGCGAATCCTCCGTGAACGACCTTCGTAGACAGGAAGAGCTGGGCTCCAAGTCCAGGCGATCTAGAGTCTAGACTTGGTCGCTTTGGCCAGCCACGCCTCGCGATAGGCAGGACAGCCCTTCGAAGACGAAGACGATCCCAAATTCTTTCACACGAAGGATTAGTGATTCATTTTACAACACGTTCCGACCATCCCTGCCATTGCACATCTCTGCGGATATGATTCTGATTCTAGGGGATAAATTACTGCTTACCTAGTGGTACTGCTACCACACCTTGCTTGCTGCTGGTACGGCGCTATCAGCTTCCGCCCCAAGCATCGAGGTGACGAAAGGTACCAGCGTGCTCCTTTGCGGTGGCGAGGGGTCGGGCAAGTCAACCTTCCTGCGGGCGCTGGCAGGCGTGCTCTTCAAGTGTGCCTTTTGTTTGTGAGGGTTTCTGCTTGACGCAGGCGATTTTTCGCGTCGCCCGTTCTAGCTCCGATATTATCCATCCGAATCTACCTGTGCCCAATGTGTGAGCACGATGGCGCTTAGACATGCAACCAGTAACGTCACTGAAAAATAGCCGCTACACAGACCCGCCTCAGCCGACTCAGCAGCCGTGGCTGCACAGTTTGGGGGGAAAGCACTTCTAAGCCTCTACAGTAAACCCAAGCACGCCAAATCTTTAACATTCTAATTCCTGGGTGGTTTGCCTGGGGTTGGGGTGAGCTGTAGTGGTCGTCGGGGCAAAAGGAGGGAAGTGGAATCCACTTGTAGCAAAACCGGGCCGGTTTGCAAGCTGCCTGGTTTTACAGGTCTGCAAATGTCCGTGACAAGGGATTTCCATTTGTTCCTTCTACCATGAAGCGAACACGCGGCTTGCTTTCTACCACACCTGGTCAGCTTTGTGTTGTAACAGGGTTTTAAACAATGAAAGAACAAGATGCAAGAGCAATTTAGAACTAGCTGTGCGAGGTGTCAGATCTCAAGCCTGTGAGGGGGCCCCCGGAAGGGCGCTGGTCACTGAAAGGACCGTTACACCTTTATCAACTCCCGAAAATCAAGTTGCTTGACCTTCTGATTCGGCAGAGACTCTTTTCCGGAAGGGGCTTGGAAGATGGCGTGTTCAAAGCCCTCAACTCTACACCCGACAAGACGAAGAAGCTCCTAGAACTACGAACACTAGAGTAGAAAAGAGAAGCCTGGTTGTGCTCCTTCTTCCCCCCATCACCGGATGAAGATGATGGAAGCGAGAATGAATATGATAGACTTTGGGTGGAGATCGGAGTCCATGATGATCGGGGTGATCGTCAGGATGAGGCAAAACGAAGACGATGAGATCCTACCTCTGCTTGTACGGGAGGTGGTGTGTGTATACATTCAGTCATGTCTTTGGAAGCTTCCTTCTCACTTGCATGTACAGTTCGCCAACGCATATGGGCCGTTTGCTTCGGAGCTCACTTGCTTCTGTCAACAACAAAGCCTCTGAACCAGGGACAAGTACGTTTTCACGTAGCAGTTTCGGTGTCGTTTTTTGTCGACTTGCGGTTCTAAAAAAAATTGGCGTTATTTCGCCAGTGCCACCAGAAAAAGTTTTTGAAGAGAGCTGGGGGTAAATCTAGACTCTGAAGCCTCGGCGGAGTAGACTGGGGAAGCCTATAACGCTAGTGCCGATCGTCATTTCCCTATTGCTTTCTAAACGCAGGGCACGAACGACCACTTGACACGTGACACAAACCCGGAAACTGCATATCGCACAGCAGCAGAATCCTCACGAAAGCCTCTTCAGGAATCTGGCCTTTCACTTCGGCCGAGGAGGCGTCGGCGCCTCTGAGCCCCCAGCTGCACAGAGCCAATCTTCGGTGACAGTTTCCTGCGCGAAGGATGCCTTGCCGTGGTGGTGCTTCCTCCTTCTTGTTCGATCGACATGACCAGGGATGAAACCTGTGAGGGAAGCACCTGGGACAACTGAGGACTTCAAGCGATTGCTTCTTAATTCCGCAGAAGCCGAGGCCGACGGAAGCTCGGTGAGTGACAAATAGAGATGCATGGCCAGCGGCAACGGTTTACACGTAGTCCACGGTGCATCACGGTGCTTGTGTTCCTGATGCAAAATCAGCTTGCCGCAAGTTCAGCGATTCAGAATAGGTTAACAGCTTGTGTCCAAGATGATGCAAGCCATTTCATCGTTCAGCATGGAGTTGTGCCGTTGGATTCGGGAGCCTGTCGGTATTCAAGCTGAAGGCAAGAAGAGGAGGTACAGAGCACGGCCTGCTGCCGTAGAAGATAGCATATGAAGCCAAGGCCCAGGGGCTGTAGTATGTCATACCGTTCAGGATTGAACGCACATGGGGCATGGTCTACTGTAGTCTCAGCAATCAGTCAGTTCTTGAGTTGAATTGAATGAAGTGTGTTCTAGATCCCATGTTGATCGCCCTGTCATTCCAACACCAAAAAAACTCAGACCCCGCAGAGGAGGCACATCTGCTCTTGTGCAGGCTGCCCATGCCAATCACACTCCGGCAAGCGCTGGTGTTCCCAGAAATTTCAGACTCCTTCTCCGATGCCACCTGGTCGCATTTGGTGCTGTGTTGCTGAGTCCCGATTTACACTCTACATTCTGGGTTGTAGAGCTCAGCCCCTTTGAATTCGCGCCCCGGCAGCAAACAAAGCCAGCAGAACAAAGTTTGATCATGGCAGTTGCATCAACATCTCAACAGGACCGAAGAATCACAATAGTTTCAAAACAGCGCGCTCCTGCTGCACTTGACATTCTGCAACCTAGCGCCCACAAGTTCCAGAACCCCATGCAGATGCCACTAGTTGTTTTCCATACTCTTGATATCCTGAACCGGAGCCGAGGCAGAAATCGCCACCGTCCTAAACAAAGTAAAGAAGCTTGCTTGCAAAGAGGTCGGGTGGAGGGGAGACAAAGATTATGCCTGGTCGTTGGTCTGATGCCTTCGCTGAGGGGGGTTCTGTGCATGTGCACGGGGCTCAGGAGCGTATATACTGTCCGCCGTTCAGCGGCGAAGGGTTTCGCGGCGCCTTGCTATACTTTGCTTTGTGTCGAGGCTTGCTGAGCTGCTCGCATTGGGCCTTGACGAGCCCATGGATGCTGCTCGACTTTCGTCGTGAGACATTCTAAGTCTAAGCCCTGATCACGATGTTTCCGGAACAACCGCCAAAGCAACAAACCGTTGCCCGATCTGACGGCTCTGCAGCGGATGCAGGTCGGTTGTATGGTAACTCCCTCAAGTTCCTGATCTCCGTGCTAGTGCTGGCACCAGGTCAACGCAGTTCTCTCCGGAGGTCAGTTCCAGAAGCTGATGGTAGCAACGCCCTCAGCGACCACTTTCCGAGCCTCTCAAAAGCAGTGCCCCGCGCCGGGCCTGGCCCCCCCCCCTACTGATGCGACCATAGAAGAGGGGGCATAGGTAGTCCCTCCTCTTCCCCTCCTGCAACCTCAAAGTTCCCAGCTCCTCCCCACCCTGCAGTGCTCCGTTTGCTGCAGAGGCGCACTGCTTGCTTGTCAAGCCGGCGTTCATTTTGCTCGACGAGCTGCAGCCTCAGTTCAGGAATCTGTCTGTGACGACACTGCCATTGCATATTTGGAGATGCGACGGTTGCTGGGGGCACTGAGGTCAATGGCGCATCTCTCACAGCAGAGTCAACACCACCTGTATGGCTTGCTGCTTGCCGAGATGGCATTATCTCAACAGACTTGGCCACCCTGCGAGTGCAGTTGTTTACGCGTTTTGCGGTCTTCTCGCTACAGTTATCAAAGAAGGGAAAACGGAAGGAAGTCTCTGTATGGACCGTCATTAAGTATGTAAGGTTCTTTCAGTGTTTTTGTTGTTTAGGTTGTTTCCTTGTTAAAAGTTCTTCAGGTTGTTGATGTTATTTAGGTCGTCGTTTGTTTTGTGCGCCACAACGACCGTATGCACGATAGCAACCGCACTCCCATAACAACCCTTAGCCTCTAGTTTTGCGCTTGGGCTTGTCCTTGCGAAGTAGGAGCCGAGAAAAGTTTCGCGTTTACCTTCCGAACCTCAGGAGAACTACTGGGACAGTTGCACTCGCACTCATCTCGGTTTGATACAAAGCTAGTCTAACAGCGCGTGTTTTATGCTCTGGTGCTGCCTAGAAGTGTTGGTTTCACCATGAGACAAAACTTGAGAAGCTGTGGTGAGCTTGATGCTCATTTTTTGGGATTCATTGGTGCAAGCACATTTCACGAAGCAGCATGTGGACCATACGACCTGATTATTTGATGTAAGGATTTTTACGCATTAGAGTATGTAAACTGTACATCGGGGACATATATATATATATATAGACACATATACACACATACATATGCATGTATATTTGCGTGCATTGCATGTACAAACCATACACCACCGAGTCCTTTGAAATCTTATACACAGCCACTCAGTCTCAAAACGTACACATGTATGTGTTTGCTGGAGTCAACTTAGCTGCTATATTGTATGTATATATTTTGAAAGGATATACATATACATATACATATATATATATATATATTGGTAGAATATATATTTTTATATGTACAGACAAATGTGAAAGCATAAATACTTTACAGACACGACATTTTCGGAAGCTGTCTTTGAGCAATATGCAATTTATGCTGTTGCTTGATTCTACTCGAGAAATTGTGTTTATGCTGCCATTGTTCGTCTCGTGCTCATGCTTTCGATTTTCTGGTCATGCGAAGAATTGTGGAAAATCACACTCCCGCAGCGACTCGGACTCAATCCAAAACAAACGGCTTGTGCACAAGCCTGGTACTACTGAGGCCAGTAGGTGTTGAAAGATTTGTCCGCGTGTCCTGGCTTTCGAGGGCGTCGATGAGCTTCATAAGAAGTCATAGCGGCGTTCCAGGAAAGAAGCACGGTCAGGCGAAATTACTCAGCGCATTCACGCTATTATACCCATGTGCACACCATCACATCTTCAACCCGGCAATGGAAAGTTGCCAAACATGGCTTCAGAATTTTGCCACTTTCATTCGCAAGGCTTATCGACGAGCTCATCGGACCTGGACGTTGTGGACTGGTCAGCACATGCCATAACCCGCAGGACGCGGATGTGGGTCAAGCGAGGTTACATTTCTTCCAGTAGCTGGATTTCCATGTGGCTCCGAGTTGTTGTGCAGTACAAGTGCTCGTGTAACGGTTGTAGCGTTTCTGCCAGGACCTCGGGAGATATCATCAAGTGCATTATCGGATCAGCCGCAAGGTTCGAGAGAGGCGTCCTGCCTGAACAGAGTCCGGCAAACGTCCTGGAGTTTCTGGGCACCTGAGATTTGTGTGGTTGCAGTCGTGCCAGCTGCCAGGGGTGTTCAGTTTGGTATTTGTCCCGGCCCTTAGCACACACGCTGAAGTCTTTGACTTCCAAAGCAAGCAAGCTTCTCAGATGTCCATGTCCGCCCGGAATCCTTCTCCTTCAAAGGTGCGACAGCACTGGCAGCACCGGATCTGCGCTTTGCACACGCAAACTGGAGTTGGTGGAGCCAGGTCGGTCTCCTTGGTGGCAGTACCTGACTCGAAGCCAAACTTTGCCAGCCGAAGCTTGTCCTGAACTGCTCAATCACAAGCTCCCGACTCCTAATTGACAGGAAGAGTTACCCTCCTCCTTTGGCCCCTCAAGATTCATCACAGCCGGACATTGGCCAACCGCAACATCGGAGGTGCGGCAGTGGAGGCAGATGCAACCAGCCCCACACAAGATGCGCACCGGCGCCTTGCCGAGCAGGACGTTCGGCCGAATGAGGCTTCAGAAGACTTCAGAGGATAGTTAAGATTCTGTTTGCTTGAGCATGCGAGCATGCACACTCGTGCCGGTGGAACTTTCTGAAGTGAGGCGTTGATTCAGAGAACAGGTGTTGCAGTGTTGACATTGCGCCGATCAACCCTTTTTCGCCTGTGGTTCTCATCGCACGCCCAGCCCTTGCATGCGTTTGTTCATAATAGTCTGTAAAAACATGTATATGTTTTGTTATAGACATATATATATACACATACGTATATTAATTTTTCTATTTATTTTTTTATGTTTATATGATGTTTATATTTACGTGTGTATGTGTGTATGTGTATATGTATGTGTGTGTGTGTGTGTGCGCGTGCGTGTGTGCTTTTGTGGCAAGAATATGAGAGAGAGAGAGAGAGAGAGAGAGAGAGAGAGAGAGAGAGAGAGAGAGAGAGAGAGAGAGAGACATACCTAGCCATTTTGGCTCAAGTGCTCAAGGCGCCGCCCCACTGTCCAGGCGCCACAAACCGAGGGGAGAGGTACTGCTGAGAGTGTGTGACATCCCGACCACGCCAGGGGATTGCAGGTCGGACCGCGCAGCAATACTCCTGACCTACCAGTTTGCTGACCTACGCGAGATCCAGCACACCGCTTTAAAGCGCGACCTCGTGAGGATCGGTCCAGTACGGTGCCGCTGCGGGGGCGTGCGGGGGACACTGTGCACCACTTTGTCACCGATATCGGCGACACTACTCAAGCAGGGGAACCCGACGCTGATCCGGGACACCATCGCCCTCGAGCGTCGACAACCTCACCTCAGTGTTCGTGACTTGGGCATCCCGACCGAGAATGCATTCTGCACCTATGGATTCCGATGCTCCAGGTGGAGCGAACAAAAGGCGAGCCCCAGAAACGGGGGATGGGCTAAGCCTGGAAGCGATTCGTGAAGTCATCAAGGGGACGACTACAACAACTAGAACAAAAGGTACAGCACCTGCAGCTGCATGGGGGGAGCTCCACGGCAGACACCGAAGGGGGAAGCAAACAGCCGGCCCTCATCCTTGGTGGATGGGAAGATGACAGTCAGGCCAGCGAAACCTTGCAAAAGGCCCGTGACATGATCCAGTAACTCCGCATTGACATCGACATGGACCAAGCCTTCTGCCCGGGGGTCAGGCGAGGATACGTTATAGTACCTTACAAGCCCAGAGCAGCCGAGACGGGGGAAGCACTGCGAGACCGACTCCGCCAAGCCCTCAAGCGTGTGAGAACGGCCAACATCGCTATGGGCCGCAAGGCCGATGGGGGGACCAGGTACCTATGGATGCAGCTCTCCCAATCGCCAGAGCGCAGGCGCCGTGCACAGCTAGCTGGAAAGACCAAAAGGCTGCTGCTCTCTTTGGGGGCCAACCCAGGAGGAGTGGAAGTGGAGTGGCCATCGGGTACCGTGTGGTACTTTGGCACCCGCGTTTGCTCTGCCACCACCAGCCCGACCGCGGGGGCAGGAGCCGGATGGATCGACCTGCCGGCCATCGCAGCAGGGGTGAACAAGACCGTGGGGGACGTCTCAACAGAATGGGGCGACCTCAAGCAAGCCCTCCGCTGAGGGGAAGAACCCACTGGCAGCACCGATGACAGCGACGAGGGGGACAATGATACCCCAAAGTCGCCAACCTTTCGACCCCTTAAAGGGGAGCACTGTTTTCACATAGCGACCTGGAATGTCGGCGGCCTCAACGTGGAAGCCACGTTCGACCTACTGCGGGCACTCGGGGGAGCGAAACACCTTTGCATGCTACACGCTGTCCTGCTTCAAGAAATCATTACCAGTCCTGGCATTTCCTTCAAGTCGGGACACGGATGGAAACTCATCCACGGCAAGATCGAGGGAGAGTTCAGAGGAGAGGCGATCGCGTACAAACTCAACATTGCAACACACAGCCAGTCGAGACTCGTCAAAGGGGGGATCGGCACGGTGCTACGCTTCAACTCTGGAGAGCGATGGGGGATACTCAGCGGGCACATCCCATGCGAACGGACTGCGATGCCTTGTCAAGTTCTAAGGTGTCACTATAAGAGCTGTGAGCAAGACCGTGTAAAGTGCAAGAGAAGGGGGCACGCTACGCGTCCCTCGACTTTAAGGGGGCATGCTACGCATCCCTCATCTTTACCTTTCTATGTGACCGCCAACGCAACGTTTGGCTCAAGTCAATGCCCATAGCTAAGTGCTATATGTGTCTTCTATCCTGAGCAATCAGAGCTATCCCGTTGCACAGACGAACCGCCGCCGGCAGTGAGTGCAAAAGGAACGGCCGCCGGTTCTGCCTGCATAGGATTGCAAGTGTGGAAGTAAGAGGGAGAGACAGGGTCCAGTCTGTGGAGAGTGCAAGCCAGCCACACCTACATTCATTACAGCTCTGGTGGGGAGAGCAGCAACCAAGTCGAGATCAATCCCCCACGCAGGTTATCAGCCGTACGCGGCTCTGCCTTTCTACAGCAACGACTACTTGATCTACTACGACCACAATGAACTCAGTATCAAGTCAAGATACGACAATGACTTTCGGTGCCGATGTGGCAGCGCCAGCCGTTGGTGAGTCAACAGCTGATGACACAGTGGTGCAATCCGTTGATAGCTCCACGGAAGATGACAAAGGTCAATCTTCTGCGCTTGCCATTGCAAAGGCCGTTCCCAAGGGGAAAGCAAAGAGTCTACCAAGAGCATCTACGCCTTCGCGTCCGACATCCACAGGTTCGAGGACGGGCAAGGCTTCAGAACGACGGGCCGAAGCGTCTGGTTTTCAGGCACCTCGGACTACGTCCAGGGCCAAGGACAAAGGAGTGAAGACTTGGAAAAGAAGTCAAGACCATCATCTTCGAGAAGCTCTTCAGCACGATCGAGGACTTCGGCTACTCGTGGACGTGACAAATCCATGACTTGGAATCGGATGGTTACCAATCAACCACGTGATGCTGACGATCTGGATATGACTCTGGACACTATCCCAGCACGTGGTGATGCATCATCGGTGACCACGCCAGCCATAGCCGATGGTCCGAATGCCTATCAGGAACTGACGATTTCGAAACAGCTCGAAGCATCTAACCTTGCGCAGCAGATGTACTATCGCAGTCAGATGCAAGAATACGAAGGAGTTGTTCAGACCCTGATGGACAAGATCAAGGAGATGCAACAAGAAGATGAAGGATCTGGAATTCGCATTGAAGAATTGGAACGACAACGTGACCATGCATGCTTAGCCATGAGGCACATCAACAATGCCAATCAGGAGATGAAGCGAGACTATGAAACAGCTTTGTTTCGCATGGATGAACAGAACTCTGCTCAACAACGTCAAGCACATGCCGTTGCCGAGGAGTTAGCTCAACAGCTACACGTGTTCCGCACGGAGGCAGCCACTAACTTTGTGCAGTTGGAGGCAGGAGCGCAAGGCGATGGTGAGCTTATGGCACGTGAGTATGAGCGTCTGACTCATGAACTTCATGAACATGCCAGAGAGAACTTGGTCCTCCGGTCAAACACAGCAAGTTCGGAACAAGCCTTACAGGCAATGCAGGAACGATTCCACTTGGTCAAGAACCAGGAGTTGCGGGCTGTGAACGAGATCCAAGGGCTAGCTGGAAACAGCGCAGCCATTGATCAAGAACGATTTCGGCTGCGCGAACGTCTTGGTGAAGAGGAAGAGTACCGCAAAATGGCTGTGAAGAGGATGCAAGAAGCAGAGGACCGACTTCATCAGAATGAAGATCATGCAAGGCGATCATTGCCTACCTTGCACGACGAGCTGAGTGAACTCAGGAAAACGCTCAAAGCACAAGAAGATCTTAAAGCGAGGACACGCAGCGAATTGGAGGCAGCGCGAAACTCCAATCAAGGAGGAGCGACGCGACCTTCGAGCATGCCCATGTCTTCGAGGACTACTGAGTCTGGCTGGGAGCACGTAGGAAAGGAAGTAATGCCTGCATTTTCCGTAGGAGATGAGGTACGATCCCCTGAAATACGTTCCCCAAGTCAAGTTAGTCCAGTCGCCAAAGAGAAGTTCGCATTCTCGGAATCGGACAAGGACAAGAACCTTGTGATGGATGGAATTCCATTCACCGGTGGAAACTTCTTCACTGGCCGCAGTTCAATGCCAATCGTGGTGGATGCAATGCCCGAGCACTACGTGCCAGGTATTAGCAGCCCAGCACTTGCGCGTTCCACGCCTAGTGCAGCCACTTTGTTCGGCATACCAAGCGGATTTCATGGGAAAAGTGATGCGGCAGCCGTGCGTGATCGACAGCTACGCGAACTCTTGGAGGATAGCGGGATGTTGGGATCGAAGTCCACAGCATCTGCCAGCTCCTCAAGACCTGTTGGTGTCGACGGTATCACCGCATCTACGAAGGGCAACGACCTCATCGGGCCCCCTATTGCCTATGACGATTCCATTCATGAAGCAAGGAGACGTCAGATCGAGAAAGAGGTCGCGGAACGGTACGAGGAGAAGATTGCCGATCTGCGAAGCGAAGTACTCAAGGCCAAGAAAGCCGAACAACGTCTCAGAGCTGATCGTGATGAGTGGAAGTTATTCGCTGAAACGATTCAGGAGGATAATGGAGACGATGACGGTGACGAGGCTGGCGACGAGAACGAAGATGGAGAGCACGATGAAGGAACCGGCACGGGGTATGACCCTCCTGACCCGCCTGACGATGATGACGATAAGAAGAAAAGCGGTGGAGGCAAACCTGAATCGGATCCTGGCTCGCATGCGCGTGATCCTGATGGAGACGCGGATCCTGAAGTCACAGAGGTGAGAATTTCCAGGAGGGAAGCCGACAAAGTGACCGTTCCTCCATGGCCTACTCTCACTCATCTCAACAACTGGCGATCCGTATGCACGGCCAATGTCTTAGGAGCATCAGCCGACCCACATCATGAGGACTGGATGTTATGGCTGGCACCAGCGTTCAACCCATTCCCTGATGTCGAAGCATTGAATGATTCAGGACACAAGAAGTTCAAGAGCATAGACGTCAAA